ATAATCGCCGCATCGACGAGTGCAGTTCTCTCATCGCCAATTTGTTTATGTTTTCTTTTTGGTACCTTTCCTCCTCCCTCCACCGCACCGCTGTTCGCTGCCCTGTGCGTGACGTCACGCCTCCCGCAGGAGCGAGCAGGCAAGAAGACGAGGAAGAAAGAAAACGCACGGATTTAGGCAACACACTCGCACAAACGTAGCGCGGGTTGCTTACCACCTTCATTCATTCTGCTTTTTAGCTATTTAATCCAGTGTGAGCAATTTCGTGCCAAATTTTCTTAGGAATAAAATGCTAAAAATCATGTTAATTTTACGGATAAATTAAATTTGAAATTTAAGCAATTAATTTTAAAAAAAAAATTTTGGTTTTAAAATACCAAAAGTGGAAATTATAAATTAATAATATGTCAATTAAGGAAAAAAAAATTAAAATTTAAGAAAATTGTAATTAAAATGTAAGTTCACTGTTTGCGAAACATATTTGTCTGAATCTGTCCGAACAGAAAGCAAAGGTCACAGATGCCGAGTTGCTGACTTGAGGGCAACCTGGATGACGCGCCCGCTGAGAACCAATTCTCACCACCCTGAGAACCTGCAGCGGAGCGCAAGCCTGTCTGAGGGACCCGATGACCAACAACCCCATTGTCTCGGACGCCCTCGGCCCTCGAGAGCACTTGCGCAGCTTGTTCGAATGCTGTCAACCTTTTGCGCCCCAGACTGACCCTGCCGAGGACCAGGGAGGACAAAGAAGTTACGAGTCACGAGGGCGTGACTCAGATTTGTCGGGAGGCAGTCTGTGGTGTAACCACAGGGACCTTTAATTATTGTATTGCAGAAGAAGAACTTTAATTGTACAAATCTTATAATTATGTAACCGCGCGCGTTAAGGCCATTTAGTATATTAACCAAAGCTGAGCACAACCCTTAAGTTCCCGCCCCGCGCGCCACGCCACCACCAAGAACTACGACCGCCGCGCTCAGGGCGCCACCTGAGTGCCCAAGCAGACGCTTCCTGGACTCGACTGAGTGTGGTTGTAATGGTTTCCCTTCCCGCTTTAAAAGGTATTGCTTGGCGCCCACGCTAGATAAATTCCGAACTGAATATCCTTTTAAATCAGCTTAATCCGTTCACTAATTCAGTCCGAACCTTAAAACTCAGCATTTGAATATTAAATCTAATAGTAATTCCGCATTAGTTTGGCCAATTATTGTTTAGTTTTAAGAATAAACCATCACTTTATTTGTTATTGTTAATTAACTTGTTTACTTGAAATATCAATTAACCCTTTTTAGTTAGAGCACAAAGATAAAAGAGTAAAAGCATTAAAGGCCAATTAGAATTAAAGCCAATTTCCATGAGGCCGCCAAGTTAAGTCAATTAATTAATTAAGAAGCACGTTCGAGTCCGGGAAAGTCTCCAGCTCTGCGCAAGTGAGAACTTCGGGGAAAAGTCCTGTCGAGAGTCACGACATCTCAAACCAATTATATTGAAGTTTTTCTGTAAAAATTGTAATAGTACAATCAAATAAAAAATTTCATTTTTCAATGTAAAAGAAATAAATTATGATAAATTTTTTTTTTTCACAGAATAATAATTATATTGTATAAAAAATCTCAGAAAATTTGCACAGCATTCCTAATATTTTCTTTGGAAGCACAAGCCACAAACTTACAAAGTTTCATGTTTGAGCAAGTCTATTTGTGAAGTTAGTCAGAAGCAACTCATGCAAATGAATGTTGTATTTCTTGACAACAGAGATTGTCAAATTTCACCACTCGAAAAGCCCTAAATAAGTACATACTCACAATACACATACATATATTGTACAGTATGCAAATAATGTTGACCTTCCTCGTACAAGAACAAACGGCAGCTCCTCTCATTTCTGCATAACGTTGTCGAGTGCTTAATTAAAACGTGCGCGGCGTCTCGGTGAACATTACGCACTCGTGGGACTGGAAGGACGCATAAATATGTATATGAGCGCCGAAATAAACTGTGCGCCAACGAATGCTGTTTGTTTTGACGAGAAAGGGTCTGACAGCCGTTAGACACCAGAGTGTCAGCTTGCTTTTGTTGCACTCGCATACACACAAACACAACTCGCGCACACACGGCTCATGCAAAATGCTCTCTGTGAAAATGTGCCTGCATAAGGGTGAAAGTGCGCCAGTTGACACCATCAGAAAGGAAAAAAGGAATTTTTAACGGAAAATTAAAGAATTATTTGATGAACAAAAGGTGTGTCGTAAATTTCTTTTTAAATAAATCATAAAATTTTTCTAAATTTTTTTTTAATAATTGATTCGATTAGGTATGATAAACTATGCATTCTTTTGGATTTTTTCTCCTTTGTAGAAGATTAATTCAGTTGTTAAAATTTAAATCCAATCGGGAGCCTGGCTAAAATACATTTGACAAAAATAATTTAACAAATTGCACTGATTTTGCTAAAAATTTAATTTTGTAATATAATGCTAAAGAAAAACAACTTACAATTAGTATTGTAATGATAAATTTTAAATAAAGACAATCACAGTTTAACTACATTTTAACTGCTCTACACGCCCAAGCATAAAAATTTATAATTTCAGGGACAATTTTTATAAAAGCACATAGATTTACAGATATCCTTGCCTGAATTTTAAACTAGATTGTCTGCTCACAGGCAGCTAGGATCCTATTAAGGAAACTACAAAAATGTTCTAAATGTTATAACTTAAATATTATATCTTTTAATATAATTATGTTACTATTAATTTTTTTTTTAAATTTATTGAAACACCAAAATTACAATTGATTAAAGAATATATTTTATTCTAATAAATAAAGAAGTTTTTTTGACATGCTTCCACTTTCCGCTCTTTTTTTTATCTTTCTGGGGCGCAAAATTTGGGGAGCTTTCTGGCCGCGATAAGAGCGCAACAGATTCAAGGAAACTCTGCGCGCGCTCGCCGCGTGTAATAATAATAAAATGAAATTGCAGTATGGACGACGAGTGCGTCGAGCGGTGGGTGGAATATTTTATTGCAAGTGGGTCAAACGGAGCAGAGGAGCCAGGCGCCCTAAATTGAAAGTTAACGTCCTTTCACCCGCCGCTCCAGATTGTTCGACCAGAGAGATGCACTTTGGTGGTTTGGCGCGAGGCCTGTGCAGGAAAAGGCAAAAACTTGGTCCCGGAAGACAAACGCATTTCCTTCTCCTTCATTTGCGGCCTGCTTTCTTTATCCGACCGCCAAAAAGCGGAGGGAGGCGGAGGGTGAAAGCAAGGATTTTCATCAACGGGAAAGCTACTGGAGAAAAAATAAGTGGTCCCCAGAGAGCCTTTCCATTGTTGCTGCGAAGCCTCTGCAAGGATGAGATCACAGATTTTGAAGATGGTCTTTTCAGTCACGCGAAGTAAATTGCCTGCGGGTAAATCTGGTGCTGATATTTATTTAATGCACAATGGAAGCCTGGAAAAAAGAAAAAAGTAAAATAAAAATATACTAAAGAACTGAAAAGGGAAAATAATTATTTCACTGTCTCAGATCTAAAACTGACCATATCCACAAATGAATGCCAAATTTTTCCACGGAGAAGCGCTAAAATTTAATTCAATTCAGCTTACAATAAGTAAAAAAAAAATCAAGCAAAATTCAAATAGCTTTTTAATGCAGCAAAATTTGGCCCTTGATGGCTAAATATATCGTGATATTATGTGTGAAATTTTTATTTTGATCAATAAATATTTTCATTTTTTTACAGAGGCAAAAAGGAAGAATATTTTTAAATCATTCTTCCATGCATTTTCTTTTTGTAACTTTCTAGTTTGTTTTGTGAAGCAATGAAAATAAGATAAGGAGCTTTTGTCATAAGTTCATATGTGAAGAACACATTTGTTGAAGAATACCAAGAAAGAGCAAACGTCGTCCATTATTAATTTATCGGACTAGGAATCTCCAAAGGCGCGTTGCAGCGCTTGCTAAAAAGCCGCTGCTTTCTACTTTTGACTCAGCGAGTACAGCAAATAGTTGGGTTAGAGTTAAACTGCTACTGGCTGTGCGGCCGCTTATTAATAATGCTGCAAGTTTCAAATGTGTGGCTGCAACTTGGAAGCCCTGCGTCGCCCTGCGTTATGTCGAGAGCGAGCGGCATCAAGTGAGCGCGGTGTTGCTTATATGGTTCAATAAAGCAAGCACATAGCCCTGAAAGCTTTTAGCCTTTCATTACCTCAGGCTGTAATCACTTAACACAACACAGCGGCCCGAATTCTCATATAAATCTGCATGCCTTGGCTGCGAGCCAACGAATATCGTAAATTGAGTCACACCACTGCTCTTTCAATATGCACCCTTAGCACTTTTTGCGCCCAAATAAATCCCGCCCCTAGCCATCCTCTGTGTCCGTGCATTGATCTTGGAGGGTTGATATGTATATGGGACCGTCGAGATTTTATTATTCGAGAGGGAAAGTGGCAAGGGTTGTGCGGAGAACAGCAACTCGTGTTTCAGCCTTCGATGCGAGGAGCATCTCTTACTGTGCCTTGGGAAGCGCCCAATAGGCAACCAGCGAAGCAGCAGAAGCCGGAAGGTTGCATACAGTCTCGCCATCTCTCGTTGAGGTCTACACGCATCACCGTAAAGTCGACTAAAGGTCACTTTGCATTCTAAATATTTTGTATGCAGTTTACCGACAAATACAAACTAATTTGAGCAATAAAAAATAAAGAACTATTGTAATGAATATTTAGAAAAAAATCTTGCATTGATATTATTACACATTATTGCTACTTTAAAATTATTTGAAATATTTCATAAATAGAAACTAATTTTATCAATTTGTTTATTATTTGAAGCCTTGAAGGTAAGTATTGATTGTAGCCTTCTATAAACTTAAAGGTTAGGAAACTTTTCATTGCATTTATTTTTTTCTAATTCATTTCATTATTAGTACCTGATTATTTTTCTTTTTGTGAGATTGAGGAATTGCAGTAAAATAATAGTTATTAAACAAAATATTCTCATTACATCCTAAAACCAAAATTTATTTCATTAAAACATTTGAATATTAGAATACATACATCAATCAAATAATAATAAAGTAAAATATCAGCCAATCATGGAATTCTGAAAATCAGATCTGTGTGTAGAGTCACATGCCTAATTCAACTCACACTTAAAATAAAAATATATCGTAGAGTGGAATATATTAGCTTGCGAAATTCTTGATATTATAACAAGTGCACCAACAGCGTCATAATCGAGATCCTACCCTACAGGTGGTTTTGATTCAATTCAGCACACTAGTCTACAAATGGAGGCAACAGAAATAGATTCACGTTTGAAAGAGAAACCAACCCATCCACCTAAATAAGTCTAAAAAGCTACCAGAAAGATTTTTTCTGAGAGTCAAAACTGAATGCAGCCCGTTTTAAAAACTAAATAAATTAAAACTAAAAGTTCTCTCTTCCTGCCTCCATGGGCAACGAGTTCCAATGACACGTAGATAGTTAGCATGATCAACATTTTGCTGAGGAATAATTAATTCTCAATAAAATTTGTACACGTTTGTAAAATCAACAGCTGCACAAAATGGCCTTGCTGATGGCACATTACAATGTAAAAATGTAGGGCAAGAACTTCCAGGGGCGGTTTTAATTGCATGTATATAAGAGTGATAGTGGAAGCGGGCGAACGACACATTACTTTTCAACAATTTAATTGTGTTCTCAACAGCAATATTAATATATATAATATGATGCGTGTTAATTAATGTCTCCTTACTTGTACGAAGATAACTCGATAATTGATCCGGTGTATAAGACAAGTTTTGTTACTGTTTGAAAAATGCAAAACCGTGTGTAAATTTGCAAAATCTATAGGAAGCCAATGACGTCCCTGAAAATTCCAGTGCCACGGGTGGCGCTTTCTTCCGATAATTGAGATTCATCTTAGTCGTGACTAGCCAGCCGATGCAAAAACGAAGCGAGTTGAGCAAGAAAAGAAAGAGATTCCTATTGGCACTACAGCTGCATCAGTCTGAATCAATCGAGTTTGACGAATACGGCTTAGACGACCTCTCCTTCTCTGGGGTCGTTGGCCACCAGGTCAGGGGCCTTGGTGGTGCCCTCGAGGCTCTTCACCGTGTCCTCGAACTGCTGCACAAACTCAGGGTCGGCGTCCTTCAGGCTGTCCAGCAGGGCTTGGCGCTCAGCCTCACTCCAGGCGAGGCACCACTCTCGGAAGAGCTTCACTCTGCACTGGAAAAGTGACGGGGGCCTCAGCCCGAGCTCCGACAGGCCATTGACTGGGCAGAAGTTGGCCGAGAAACTCTGGGCCAGGATCGGAAGGAAATCCTCACGCTGCATTTCGCTCCACTCACGAAACCATTGTGCCACAAAGCGTACCTGAAATTTTTACATTGCAATTTAGTGACTTATTTACAACAAAAGTTATTTTGAAATAAGAATTTGCAACTCCAAACATAATAACAATAATTATTATCATTTTGCCATACACACAGCTCAAAATAATTGCAAATTTTTATCAGCAAGATAGGCTTCTTGCAGAAAAATATGCCTAGTGCAAATACCTGGCAACAAATTTGTAGTGGAAACCCCTAGACTTTCTCTTATCTCACACAACTCACAGATAGATAGATTTTGCACACTTGAAGCTAATTTTAGGCAGAAAATATATATTCATAAAAATTTGTATTTATTTTTCTGCTGTAGGAAAAATAATTATTAAGACATGGATGCAAAATTCTCTGGCAAACTGAGTCATGAAAAATAAAAAATTTCTTTAAAAAAAAAATTTCCTAAAATGAACCTGTGAGCATCTTGAGAAAGTTAAGTCTGAAACCTGAGAATGAACCACCAGAATGCGAGCATGTCAAGGGGTGAGTTGACTTTTATGAATAATTTTAACCTAGGCAGAAGCCATAAAAATTATTCAACTCCTTTCAGGCCAAACGAACTGATTTAATTTGAATCAATTTGTAAAAAGCTGCTTATAACATTGGTTTATTCTACTATTTCGGCCAGTAAAATATTTCAATTCAACTTGTTTTAAATAAGTAGAAAAATTAGTTGAAATTTGTAATATTTTATCGGTTGGTTTCACCATAAAAATGTTTTATTTTGTTAATTGTTATCTCTAATTTTTATAAACTCGATGAGAGAGAGGAATATTAAAATTTAAACCCCTTCAGAAGTTTTTTTATAATTAAAATAAAAAATAATATAAAAATTTTCTAAAAAAAGAACAACAGTGATCAGGGCCATGTAAAATTTATAAATAAGATGCAGATAAGAGGCGTATAAATATTACTGAAGATACACCACATTAATTAGAGCAAAAATTTAATTTCAATGAGCCACTTCCGGAATTAAAAATCCACACCGATAAAATATTATCAAATAATCAACTGTGGAGCCCCGCAAATGAAACAAGGGTCCAACCTGCGCCTCAGGGGTGTAAGTAGTCATTCTTGCAAGGTGGTCAGCAGGTCGAGGAGGTCAGCAAGGTCCCAGTTGGCAGCCCACCGGTGGAACAACTTGACTTGGTGTTCGAAGATCGTCGACGGTTCCTCGAGGGTCAATCCGGCGATCAGCTGCCAAGGACAAAAAGAAGGTAAGCTTGACCTTGCAAGGTGGTTTTACACAACGGGACACTCACCTGGTCCACGTTCGAGCGACCAGTGATCCTCTGCTCGACTTTGGCGACGAACGAAGCTCGCTGCTCGTCGTTCCAGTTGCGAAACCAACTGACGATGCACCTTTTCTGCTCTTCGCTCACCCTCTGCGACATAACATGGTGCTCACAGCGGAAACGGCGGCGCGAATTTCGGCACGACCGGGACCCCAAACGCCGCTCTACTCAATCAAGACGCTCTCGATTTAATCGGACGAGCGTTGCCGCAGTAAAGTGTCAATTTAGCTGCGAGGGTCGTAAATTCTTTTGATAAAACTCGCTCCGTCAAAAGCAGCGGGCGACCAATCAGAGGGCGCGCCGCATTTAAAAAAGCGCGCCAAACATGACCTGCGCCACGGGCAATGAGGGAAACGTCACGCGTACGGATGCGGAGTCTGCAGACGGATGGCTATAAAAGTTTACCGTTTTTGCGGCTGTGTGGGCAAGGGTTGTGTATCAGGTTTCCATGCACTTGCCACACACATTGCACATTTCTTCAATAATTGACATTTGACCCGGTAACTGATTGAGGGTGCTGACCAGAACTAAAACGTATAATTGTAAAAAAAAAAGAAATATACATAAGATACATAATATCCGAAATATCCAACCGTGCTTTGCAGTGCTTTGGAATGGATATTTTTTAATAGGATAATTATAATTTTAGTTAATTCCAAAAGACATGTGTGATAATAATGATAAAATTATATCTATATCTTGTTTTTTTTCGTTCTCGATGGGAAATTACTCAAAAAATTTTGGCCATCAAAAATTATTGGTTTTTTTTTATTGGTAATTATTTTTGGATAAAAGTTATAAAATACTTCTTAGACTTTCTATTCTAATTAATTTATTAAAAAATTCCAGGTTGCAGAAATACATTTTAAAATAATAGCATTATAAATTTTAAATCTATTACGCCAATTTAGGACCACAACTTAAAAATTTAAATTTCAATAAGTTTTTTTTTTCAAATTCTCATAAAAATGGTTTGCAAAATCTATTGCAGTCTTTGGAACAGTGAAGATCAGCGAATTAAATATTTATATTTTATGAAAATATATTTAATTTGTTTATATAAATACAATTGATTAAAAATTGTGTCTTAAAACTTTTAATACTAAGTTTTTATCGTGTTCCATAGATTCGGATGCCCGAGGATAATAAATTATGCTATTGCTGCGGCAACCTGGGCCATCATTGCTACCATTATTAAATTTTAAGTGCTACACTTTTTATTGTTTCCTTTTTGCTCTCGGCGCCGAACGGGTTCAAAAGCCTCGCAGCACAAGCCACTCATTATTTTTTTTTGTAAAATCACGCACCGCTGCGCTCTTATTTGCTCTGCTCCCTTTTGTACCGAGATCGAGTCCAGTCACGACTCCTCTTTTATAAAAAAGGCCATTGTCCCTTTCGAAAGAATCAGCTCGCCGCCCACGCGAGCCACGCAACATTGGGTGGACTTTGCGAAATTCGGCGCGCCTTTTCCGCGCGTAGATACATCGAAAAGTAGAAACATAGCGAAAAATGCAAACCCACGGTGTGTCCGCCTAGTGCCTATACAGACCCGTTACACACCCATAGATCAATAGGGAGCCACGCATGGCTGGATTGGACGAGGGTGACGTCATCGCGCCACTCGTCGAACGAACGGCGAACGAGAAAAGTATTCACGGAAAAAAGTAGCATGGAGGTTTGCGGCACTCTGTAGTGAGAGACAGAGCCGGAGGAAGAATTTTCAATCGGGATTTTTTTCCGCGAAAATCTTGGGATCCTCCGCGATTTTGGTGCGAGTGCTGGGCCGAGTCGGTGTGCCTTGAGCTGCATTTCCGTCTCGTTCGGCCGCCCCGACTCACAACAAACAGACTGGAACAACTGCAGTAAAAATGGAGGCCATCTTGCAGTTGACGTGATCTGTCAGCCGCTCTGTTTTCTCTTTACCGCTTTTCCTGCTGCTGCCAGTGCCTGCCTTTTGTGACGACCGTGTTCTGAACGCCCGCCGAAACCATGTCCGGCGAACGCGAAGTGCCGGCCGAGGACAGTATCAAAGTGGTGTGCCGCTTCAGGCCCCTCAACGACTCCGAGGAGAAGGCAGGCTCCAAGTTCATCGTCAAGTTTCCCTCGGGAAACGAGGAAAATTGCATTAATATAGCCGTGAGTTTTCTTAATTAACTGTCCGAGAAAAAAATATTAATTCCATTGCGGGAAAATAAAATAAAAGTTTGTGTCCATTTCCTGGAATTTTGTGGGATTGATAGTGGGCGTGGTCTTGCGGACGACCTTCCACTGTTGGGATTTTTAATTTGTATGACTCATGGTCATCCTCGTTTTCCAGGGCAAAGTGTACCTTTTCGACAAAGTCTTCAAGCCGAACGCGACGCAGGAAAAGGTTTACAATGAGGCTGCGAAGACGATCGTGTCCGACGTGCTGTGCGGCTACAACGGCACCATCTTTGCCTACGGACAGACGTCGTCCGGAAAAACCCACACCATGGAGGGTGTGCTCGGTGACTCGGGCAAACAGGGCATCATACCCAGAATTGTCAATGACATATTCAACCACATCTATGGAATGGAGGAGAACCTCGAGTTCCACATTAAAGTTTCCTATTTTGAAATCTACATGGACAAAATTAGAGACTTGCTTGACGGTGAGAATTTTTTTTAAAAGGATTAGATTTATTAAGAATATTTAGATTAATCGCAAAATAAAAGCTTTAAAAAGATAAAATCAAATTTTTATATTTAAAAAAATTACGGTTCCAATTTCTTATTGAATTTTAATTATTTCTTCCCTGTTTCTAGTGTCAAAAGTAAATCTGAGTGTGCATGAGGACAAAAACAGGGTGCCCTTTGTAAAAGGAGCGACCGAGAGATTCGTGTCAAGTCCGGAGGAAGTGTTCGAGACAATTGAGGAGGGCAAATCTAATCGCCACATAGCAGTTACCAGTGAGTTTGTTTATCAATGTCTATTTATTTATTTTTGCTATGCTATAATTAAATTAAACTTTCAGATATGAACGAACACAGTTCTCGCAGTCACAGCGTCTTCCTGATCAACGTGAAACAGGAGAATTTGGAGAATCAGAAGAAGTTGTCTGGCAAACTTTACTTGGTAGATTTGGCTGGTAGTGAGAAGGTGAGCAAGACTGGTGCTGAGGGAACTGTCTTGGACGAGGCTAAGAACATCAATAAGTCTCTGTCTGCCCTCGGAAATGTGATTTCTGCATTGGCTGACGGCAATGTGAGTTTCCAATATTTTCCCTATAGAAGGCAATGAAATAAACTTTGAAATTTAGAAAACTCACATACCTTATCGAGACTCCAAACTGACGCGTATCCTGCAAGAGTCGCTGGGCGGCAACGCGAGGACTACAATTATCATCTGCTGCTCACCGGCCTCTTTTAACGAGTCGGAAACTAAATCTACTTTGGACTTTGGCAAGCGGGCCAAGACAATTAAGAATGTTGTTTGTGTCAATGAGGAACTTACTGCCGAGGAATGGAAGAGGCGATACGAAAAGGAAAAGGAAAAGTCTGCACGACTCAAGGGAAAGTTGGAGAAGCTCGAAGAAGAGCTTAGCAAGTATGTTGTTAACTTAAAATGAAATTAGAATATTACTAGAGAATTCTTAATGTGGTATGATACTTGTTACTGTTGGTCAAACGAATAAATAGGAATTTAAACATGAAATGGATATTAACTAATTATTATTGTTATTTTTTAGGTGGCGCAACGGAGAAACTGTCAAGCCAGAAGAGCAGGTGAACCTGCGGGAAGACTACGGAGCAACCACCCCGGTGGCTGCCATGACTGAATCAGAAATCGTACTGGAGAAAAACAAACCTGGAGGTCCTCTGCCTGCCATGCCCGGTGGCCTCATGGTTGGCTCGATCTCAAACGAGGATCGCCAGAAAATTGAGAGCGAGCGTGAACGTCTGTACCTGCAGCTTGATGAGAAGGACGAGGAGATCAACCAGCACACACAGATGATTGAAAAGCTCAAGGACCAAATCATGGAGCAGGAGGAGCTGATCGCCTCCACCCGCAGAGATTACGAACTGGTCCAGCACGAGATGAACCGCATCCAGCAGGAGAACGAGAGTGCCAAAGAGGAGGTCAAGGAGGTTCTGCAGGCGCTCGAGGAGCTGGCTGTCAACTACGACCAAAAGTCTCTGGAAGTTGAAACTAAGAACAAGGAGTACGAGACTCTGAACGAGGAACTCATCCAGAAACAGGTATGATTGTCTTGAAAGATGATTTCTGATTTTATTCTTTTATTGAATATTCTTTTGCAAACAGTCTCAACTGAACAATACGTCTACTGAGCTGCAACAGCTGAAGGACATGTCCACTCACCAGAGACGTCGCATTACAGAGATGCTGACCAATTTGCTGAAGGACTTGGGCGAAATTGGATCATCTATTGGAGGAGATGGTGGAGATATCAAGGTAAATTTAAAGGATTATGTAATGTACATGGGAAAAGGCATTTTTTCCCTTTGTAAAAACCCTTTCCATACTAAGCTTTTGATGTAATTTTCATTTTGATTTCTTTTACAAACTTCAGAGACTTTTGACTCCATTCAGGATAATTTAATATTATTCAGTATTTTTTAATATTGGGTTAAAAAAATTATTTATTCGAAATTGTGCTTTAATCTACACCCGATTAACGCATAAATTTAAATTCATCCCTTCACAGAGAAATTTGCCTCTGTTCCAGTTCTCCGCCGACACAAATGGAAAGATCGAAGAGGAGTTCACCGTCGCCCGTTTGTATATTTCCAAGATGAAGTCTGAAATCAAGAATCTGGTGCAACGCTGTCAGAACCTTGAAAGCTGCCAATCTGAAAGCAACAAGAAGGTGAATGACTACGAGAAGGACCTGGGCGAGTGCCGTCTGCTCATTTCGCAGCATGAAGCCCGCATGAAGTCCCTGCAAGAGTCGATGCGCGAGGCCGACAACAAAAAGCGGCAGCTGGAGGAGGACATTGACGCCCTGAGAGAGGAGTGCGCCAAAATGAAGGCCGCCGAGCAGGTGCACCAGGTGAGCAAGCAAGAGAAGGCCGAAGAAAAGGCTGCGGCCAACCAGCTCCGTGAGGCTCTGGAGCAGCAGATGGACCAGCTGAGGGACGTTCACCAAAGTCAAGTGGCCAAGTTGCGTGACGAGATTGGCGAGAAGCAAGAAATGATCAATGAGCTGAAGGATCTCAACCAGAAGTACACCCTGGCTCAGCAACAAATGCAGCAAGACTACGAGAAGCTGAAGCGAGATGAAAATGAGAAGAGTCAGAAACTGCAGGAGCTGCTGCTGACCAACGAGAGGCGTGAGCAGGCCCGCAAGGACCTCAAGGGTCTCGAAGACACTGTCGCTAAAGAGCTGCAGACCCTGCACAACCTGCGCAAACTTTTCGTCCAGGACTTGCAGGCCAGGATCAAGAAGGTAAATTACTTTTGTGTCTATTCTAAAATTCATTTCTTTATAGAAAAGTTAGTATTTTTTTATATAACAAAATATTTATCAACATTATTGGTAGAGGACTCTTTAAAAAAAAATTCTAAATAATTTTTTCCCCGTAGCAATTTGCTCTAATTTATTAAGCAATTTTCTCAAAAAGTTATTATGCAGTGCGAATCTGAAAAAATTCACTTTGGTGTAAAAAAATTCCTCAAATGGTTATTATTTCGAATTCCAAAAATGAATGAAATTTTTTGCTGGCATACACAGCGGTCAGTAGCAAAGCGGTTCCAGCATGGCCTCCATTCCAGTAAAAATTTTTAATCTAAAGTATTGATTCTTCTTTTTAATAAAGCATCCAAATTAAAAAATGGAGGGACAGAGAGGAGGGTCTCTGGGCAATTGAGACCTGTAGAGTTCGAATCAGAAGTGATGCCTCATTTAAAGAGATTCGGGCACATTCATTTAGGCTATTTATTTTGGGTTTTTCTGTTTGGGGCAACTTCTGTAGGAAGCGTTAGGGCCAGTTTATTTTTGGACCATTTGAGAGCCCTTTTTCTCTTTTTTCCACAGTCCGCCAACTCCGAAGACAATGAGGATGATGGTGGATCTCTTGCTCAGAAGCAGAAGATCAGCTTCCTTGAAAACAATCTTGATCAGCTGACCAAGGTGCATAAGCAACTTGTGCGTGACAATGCTGACCTCCGCTGTGAGTTGCCTAAACTTGAGAAGAGGCTTAGGGCAACAATGGAGAGAGTCAAGGTTTGTATTGCATTCAATCGGTTAAAATGACAATACTTTCTTTTTAATTGATTGAAATTAGAATATTTCAAGACTATTTTTACTTGGCAATTTAAAATAATGTTGACAAAAAAATTAAATATCTTGTTACGTTCTAGGCTCTTGAAGTTGCGCTGAAGGAGGCTAAGGAGGGCGCTATGAAGGACAGGAAACGCTATCAGTACGAGGTGGACCGCATCAAGGAAGCAGTTCGCCAGAAGAACCTGGCTCGCCGAGGTCCCCAAGCACAAATTGGTAACCGAATTTGGAATATTTATTGAAAAATATTTATTCTGCGCATTCTTTCTTCAGCCAAACCCATCAGGCCTGGTCAACACCACACAGCGGCCCCGACTGGCCCCGTTGCCATTCGGGCAGGTCCCGTGGGCGCCGGAGGCAACAACGTGAGCCGCAGCATCATTGTCGATGACGAGCTGCGCAAGAAGAAGGCGGCCGCAGCTGGCAATGGCGGCAACAAGGGCGATTGGTAAAGCAAGCAAGAGACTGTGAGAGAGAAACCCAAACGAGACCCTCGCTTGGTTTGACTTTGGTTTCGGTTTTGATATGTACGGGCGTCAGGCGTAGTTACAAAATTTTGTATCCTTTGATTTGCACCTTTTAAGTTTGGAAACGCCTGTCCAGTGGAGGGTCTACTACTTCAACCGAAAGGAGCTTCTTAAGGATTCGTAATTAAGTTATTCTTTAGGATGGTAAGGTGCACTTGTAGCGTAACTTTCCACTATAGTGAGCACTCGGTAGGCCCTTTCGTTATTGTTTCATATTGAAATCACTGTTGATTCCTAAAAAAAGAACGTAAAAACTCCAGTGCTTTACTCATTTGGTGGTTATTTTCATCTTGATTTCCTAAGGGTCTGCTAGGTACACTCAGTCGGGCGCCTGCGGCCCAGTTAGTCGTCAAGACCGCTGAATTCTAGGGAGGCGCGCACCACAGAGTTTATTTTTAATGCAATTTTTAAGATTGGAAGGCCACTCGGTCCGCGATGGGCGCCGTAGTTTATCCTTCTGCATTATAAAAATAACCCTCATGCTTTTGGCTCTTTTCGATCAATATTTCGGCTCACATGCTTTCAAAATTGATTTTCAAAATCAAGGTTGCTTACTGTAGCTTCACGACCAAAGAAATTGATGCGTCAATGTAGTCAAATCTGCTGTCATGTAAAAAAATTTAAAAATAAAAATATTGCCACGGTCGTCATGTGTAAAACTCGTCATCTGCGAAAAAAAAATGCTAAGCGCTTGTTTAGGATTGAGGGACCAGTTCTCGTTTTGAATTAAAATTATGAGAATTAAAACGAATGTTAATTCTCTTATTATCAAAAAACTGACACCAAACTAACTTACTATTGCAACACTAATGTTTTCCTTGGCAAGAATTGGTCCCTCATCCTTAAACCCCCAGTTCAAATTAAAGCAACTTGAGCTCGCCAGCTTCGCTTTCATCACTTACGGATAAATTAAAAGAGCCTAAATTCTGCTGAATTCTCAATTGGGTCACTTGTGATATGGTATTTTAAAGAAAGAAGATTCTGAATTACAAGCGGGTGCCACCTGAACTTAGTGCAGGCTTGATGTCAAAGGTCAAGCTGGGCAATGCACTGTCCCCGGCGGCACCCTTGCAGTGCTTTTTTGTCTTATACACGGTCAGTACATTTACGACAACCAGCCGCAAACAACCATTGTCTACTAAGGTGCAATAAATTTAAAGACATGTGGCTTTTAATTTATTTACTACTCAATCCCTGTTAGTTCCACATGAATTAGCAGCTATTTTTGTTATTGTCGTCTAAGTTATTAATTATATTCAATTAATCATTTCTGATATGAGTTATTTTTTTTGTGATAAACACACTCACACGTGCGAGAAAGGAATACTTCAAAGTCGATTGCGATTTTCACTGGTGAAGAAGTTTGATTGTTTGTTTTTCCTGCTAGGATGGAATTCAGATTATATTTTATTGTTTTTCTGCAATTAATTTATTAACAAGACAAATAATTAATTTAAACCTTTATAAGAAAATATATATGATGAATGTAGGAAATTCAGTGTAGTGCATTGCATAAGTATGTTTAATTTCTGGCGCAGTTTTTTTCCTGTTTGATCGTATTATTATTCTTATCAAGTGCATTTGCAGTAAAGAACACATCCACGGAATACAATAATAATAATTAATATTACTCATGGAAGTCATGGACCTTTGATTACGCTGAAAATGAATTTTGTTTACACATCACAAAACTAAATTATGTTTTGATGTTGAATTGTAAAGATGCCTTCTTTCATGTGAAAAATGAATAAATATGCACATTAAACCTAAATTCTAAATTTTGATGCTTTTATTGAACAAATCGCAACCTACAAATCACTACCAATAATTACAAGTTTCTTGGAACCTGATGGAATTTATGAGTATTCTTGAAAGTTTGAAATCAGTAAAATATTATTGCAAAATTTCTACTAATCTGAAAGCGGCGCACCTGATATAAATTCAGCTCGTTAATTTCCTGCGCCGCCGATTTTCACGATCAGCGACGCGGCACTTATCTCATCTGCCAAATGGCTCATCTCTTTCTCTCATCTCTGCCCGCATATAAGTTTGAAACTAGAAATCGAGAACCTGACTTCTTATGATTAGAAACTTTTATGTGTAAAAAATAATACACACAACAGCTGGGTCACCAAAGCGAATTTTTATCTCTCTACAAGTGCGTGTATAGAGCGGAAAAGATGAGTTAATGGTTTCTTCTCATTCGCGGCTGCTAAATCGGTGACGCATGAAACGTGAACAAAAACATCAGCTGAACGTGATATGAACTCCGGATAAATTTGCAATTTTTTAAAATTGCACTCGGCCAGCTTTCCCCGTCGCATGTACATCATATTTTTTAACTTAATTTCTTAGCCTGGACCTAAGCTGCGGTCATAAATTAATTAGCCGCATGAATCGCATGATTGATCTATCTTTCGTGAATATATAGGAACAAATCACGCGCGTGTGTCTCACTTTCTTGTGGGAATCCTTGATTACGCTTAGGCATGCTATTTCAGCTTTAAATCGTAATTTTATGTTATAAAAGAGCGTCAGAAGGTCTTACTCTAATTTGATTTCTGGCACATTAATTGTGAAATTGTAGAACTGCAGAGGCCACCCAAAGCGTTGAAAATTTAATTTTATTATGCTTGTAGAAAATTTTTACTATTATATAGCATAAAAATAGACTACGACTTTTTCAATGCATATATTTTGTTAAGTAGAGTTGTGATGCGAGTAAATGAAAAAATAAAAGATTAAAAGTTTGTTTGCTTCGGAAAAGCTAAAATTTGATGTTTAATCCCTCGGAGGAAGTATATGAGTTTGCATTATAGTTTGCATTAACTGCATTTTTATTTAATGTCATTGATAAAAAAAAGTTCAATTTCAGACAATTATATGAACCTACTTTAGAATCAAGCTATTTGAAAAATTAAAAAGAGACATAAAAGTTGTTTTCTCTAATTTAATTTTCATTTTTAGTAATATTAGATTTTTTAATTAGCGCACCATGAGTTACTTTAGCGGTGGAATATATTTTTCCACAACTCCCAGCAGACTCCCAGTATATATCCTGCAATAAGAAAAATGAATGTCCAATGTCCACTGCAATCACGAGATTTCTTTTCTGCCAAAATAAGCAACCCACGCATGAGTTTTGAACCTAAATGCATGATTCACATGCGAGCACCTGAACCGCTTTGCCACTTATTTCTTGTAAAATTATCATTTCGCACTTATATTTTTATGACGAAATTTTTTCATTGGAAATTGATAAATTTAAAATTGATTCTAATACATTTCTCAGGTAGAATATTCTTGTAATCCATTGCCTATTACTATGTTTAATTTTTGTGCTTGAGTATTTTAAACTCAATGACATGAATGAAAAAAAAAGAGATGAGCACTCGCGCTGAACATGCATCATGACACTGACCTTGCAATCAGTGCGGAACCGAAAATCGGCCGGGGATGTCGCCGCCAGTGAAAGTCCTCTCGACTCCACAACGGCTCAAAAACCTCGATCAAACAATGCTCTGAAGCCGATTTGCACTTTTCATTGTTTTACTTTATTTGTTGTGTGAAATGGACACGGCGGTGCGCAGGCAGGTGTCCTTGCTTCGGACACAGTCCGGTTGACAGTCGGAATCTGAATTTGCTCCGGTGTATTGAATCGAAATGAGAATTTGAAATTATGTAAGTTGGAGCAAGAGTTGGTCTGTTACGAAAGCTTTCTCCGCGCCTCCCTCATTACCTTACCTCTAAATTTGTTGACTTGCACTTTCCCTGCTGCGAATCCACTCAAGCGGCAGGTGCTTTTCAAGTCATTTGCACTGATGGCCAATTAGATAATGATATCATCCTATTCTTTGAGAGGAGGAAAATGGGCTGAATGAATTAAGAGCAGCTCTCTTTTGTAATAATATTAATTAACATCGTGAGCAGAGAGATAGTTGCCGAGATGCGCGTTTGATAAATTTGTTCCTCATTTTGAAATTTAAAAAAATCAGGATTTCATTTTATTTTTTCATATACTTCAAATTTTTGAAAATATGATTCTTTTAATCTTTTGATATATTTTGTCTTAGATAACGGATGACTTGCTATCTTGCGTGCACAAATTGCAACACACGTCACTTTTTTGCTTTCTTTTTTTTAGCACTCGTCGTTTCCTGCGCCCTGTTATGCATTATGGAAGGATGCGCAGGCGGAGCAAGCATTTGTCCAACTAAGCGAGTTTAAATAAAGTGCCGCTATTAGTTTCCGAAAGAGCAACCTCGACACATTTATTTCTTTCACAACGATAAAAGTTAATTCTTTAACTGCTGTAAGAAATAAATTATATTTAAAATGCATAGAAATAATCTTTTGGCATCTGCGCTTAAAAGAGGTTAGGAACAATGCAAATAAAGACCTTCAAATATTTATCTTGCATTAGAAATTTGAAGAGGTCAGCTGTACAAAACAAAACAAAAATTTGAAGAAATAATACGTATTCAATTTTTATTTTCTTTCTGCTTTTAAAAAAAGTACAAAGGAAGCTACAACGCAGATCTTAAAAATTAATCAGATATCTGGACCAAATATCAAACTTCAATTCTCATACAGGCAAAAAATTATAAATAAAAATATATCAATTATATGATTTAAATTTGATTTTTTGAATTTTTATGGTATGAAAACAATGATAATATAATATTTAAAGCATGCTTTTTAAATATTATAAATAAAAATAATTAATTGATAAAGTATTATTTCTAAAACTCAAATACAGCCCTTGAATTAAAAAAGAAAACACTTGATGTTTAAAATAAAAACGGTTTTGTTTATTTAATAACAACAAAAATTACATAGCTCATTGCATTCCGCATGCATTTTATAAACACATTTTTATTTGCATATATTAGTTTTTAGTTTCTAAATTGCAATAAATTTATTTGATTCTAGCTAAATGAGCTATAATTTAGTTCAAATCACACTTCATTGCGTTAATTTTGCAGTGTGAGAGAAAACAATAGGCTTGCAAAAACTGAATCAGTGACCCATTTCACGCCTCTCTCCAGTCCATCAGCGGCGCATCTCTGCACCATCGACGCGACGGAAAAAAAATGCATAAAAAAATTGAAAGGCGTCAACCGAAAAATCGACCGCAGAGATAGGTGAAATTTCTTTCCTTCTCGCGCGTGCCTCGATTCATTGTTCTGCACCGCTGACTGATTTTAATTGCAAATCGCTGAGAAAGAGCAAACGGGCCAATTCCGTCGGATTTTCATAATGAAATAATTAGTCTCGCAGACGAGGAGAGCAGGAAGTGGTTTGAGAAAGAGGATAGTGCGTGTCTGTCGCCGATTCGGTGCAAAAAGCGGCAAATATTTATTCAATAGGGCGGCCACGCAAGGCGCCCATATCAAGGTGTATATATTTATTGGATCACTTTCTACTGGCGCACACCACTTTCTCGGTGTAATCACCCATTATGTATAGCAGCAGCAGCAGCAGTTTTTCCCACTCGTTGGGTGCAGGTTCCTGTGGCATTTTCGATCCGCGCGTGTATGTTCCGCCAAGATGCTAAATGTCATTCGCAACGACGTGGAGCTGCGGTCGGTGACACCCAAATTGTTGATTTATGCGAATCACGCCAACACACTACACACTGTATTCTGTAGCGACTGACATGGGAGAAATTGCGAAACGAGTTTAGAAGAACCCATGCTTGTAAATTACAAAATTTTTAAAACAATATAGCAAGCAAAATAAATTTACTAAAAAGATAAATTAAATAGTAATTTTTATTTATATTTTTAATTTGAAAGCAATTAGAAAAGTCGTAATTTAAAAAGAGGGAAAAAGTTAAAAATTGAAAACTGATTTATTAAAATTTGAATTTTATTATTTAGTAATTATATTTTTAGCAAGAAATTACTCATTACAAAAAAAAATTTAAGAACCAGTAGATTTTTTTAAGCTGGAATTTGTTTATCTTTAATTAACTAACTCATTATTAAAATAGCCCGTTTTCTTTTTACTCAAAATAAATTATACATTTATCTTTATAGATTAGGATCTATCGTTTAGTTTTACGACTTCTTGCTCTCGCAAAATATCATTTACCATCAACGTGACTTATAACGACGATCCTTTCTTGCTTCTCGCACCTATTCCCCGAGAGCAAGTTACGCAATGGATCTCCAATTAAATCCAAGTAACTCGTTTTTCACGTACTTTTTGCTGAGGTCCTGGCGCTCAAATCTCCTCTGCAAAACGAAAGCGACCCAATTCAATTATAACTTATTGGTCCTGGGATTTTTTATTAAAAATAAATAAATAGCCGGAACTTGATTACTTATTGGATTCTGTCATTTCCGTGCGGCGAACCGGTATACACAGCCAATACATATTTATAGTTTTCTCGTACTTGCGGCTGCTCGCTGTGAAAATTCATGCATATCATTTTACTTATCTTGAGAATGTGCGTGCTCGCGCTTGAATGAGTTTGCGCTTTTGACTCTCGGAAAGAGAAACACCGAGAGAATGGAGCAGTTAATTGATTATTGATTATGGTCACTGCATTTAAAAGTTTCCAAAGATGATGGGCTTTATTTATTGAATATAGCAACGTCAACTTCATTCCAGTAGATCGAAAAACGCATTTGATAATTTTATATTACCAACGTAAGGTACAAATCAATTTTCTGAGAGGTTTTGAGAATGCACGTCCAGGAATATCTCTATTTTTAAGTAAAGCATACAAATTATTTTCCTTTCTCGTGTAAAAAAAGAAAACAAAAGAAAAATTAATTGGCAAAAAAATAGTAAAAATTCTTTGCAGTTACTTGAAATAGTTTAGTTTTTTTTCTACGTCTGAAGATGAGTAGAAAGGAACGGCCCTGAAAAATCGATCTCTGATATTCCATCTCAAGAAATTGTTCTAGATGAATCGTACAGGAGTCATACAGAAAGGCAGGTCCTTGAACTTGCGACAATTGAGAGTCTATAGGCGTGACATGGCCCAAAACTTTCTAATAAGAAAAATCTAATTGAGTTGTTGCGGGAGACCATAACAATTCAAAGTCATTTTACCACGAAAGAAAACTTTCAAGGAGATTTTAATGCATGTTCCTGTTCAGCTTATAATGGATTTCGAGGTGCACATGAAAACCAGGTGGGAATAAATGCCACGAAAATGCATCATTAGTTTTTGACAATAACCAGGTAATAAAGGAAAAAGGAAAGGTTCTTCAAGTTCATTGCTCTTTCTATGTACCAAAGAAATTGAAATTCCGTGCGAAAAAATCCTATTTGACGAAAAAGATCGGTGCCAACGATTTTATCCAGGCATTTGTCACTTTGCCAGCTGATAATATAAAGTATGTACAAAATCGTAACCTTGGCAATAAAAACCCCTGATGCCGATAATTGGCAATGGAGACTGTCGAGCAAAAATGCGCTTGCTTGGTCGGGTGCATGACCAAAAGCACGCGCCGCTCAATATAATAAAGTAATAATGCGCGCCTAATTTCATGTATGTGATCCAGTATAAGTTGCAAGTTGCGGACTTTCTCCTCCGCGTCTGTCACCACACCCTCGCGCACAGCCAGCTGCCTACCCTCGGGCCCAAAAACGACGGTGAGGTAACCGAGCACGTAATCTTACTTCTGCTCTCTCTGCATCCAACCCTGCTCTGAAACTTCTGAAAGCAATTCATTATTCATCATCGTCCGCATTGAAATCGAACGTGAGAATTTAATGCAAAGTCTGCGGCATGTGCTTATAGAAAATAAATTATTTAATAAAAATAATAATGTATTTAACATTATTTATTTTATAAATTTATTAAATTAACTTTTATTCTTTGTATTAATAATTTAATCTTAAATTTTTATAATAATCATCTATTTTCAAGATGAAATCATGCAGAGCTAGTTAAAAATTGTATTTTAATTTATAAATGTTACGTAAATATAATATTATATTATTACTATGACCATGTAAAGTAGTTATTATGAAATATAACATTATTTAAAAATAGATAACAAAAATAACATCTTCATGAGCTATACTATTTGATTAAATCACATTTTTTACAGTAACTTTTTTGTTATTATGATTACAGATAAAAATCATAGTAAAATCAATCTAAAAAAATATTTCCAGACTCTAATTTAATACTTATGACTTATGATTAATTAGATGATCTCTGCTTTATAAATTTTGCCTTACGACTAAGATTTCCTAAAAGCAACAAGGCACATGAAATACAGGAAGATTCGCACTTAGAAAATAATGAAACTAAAAGTTAAAAATTCAATTAACATTTTCCAATAATAAAAGTTAACTGTCTAACAAAACTGAATAAATCTTCGCTTTTATATGATTCATTTAGCTTCAAAATTAATTTATTGTGATCTAGTTTATAATAATTCAAATTATCAGGTCGTATCGTCATTATTTTTAGATAATTGTTCTTATAAAATTTAATTTCAAAATTTTCAATTTGTGATGCATGCTCATTTTATAATTTTATTAAACTCGAAATCCATAATTCATTGAAAAAAAAAATGCAATATATGTGCTAATAGTTTTTTATAGCATCGGAATGATGATAGACATCGTTAATTCTAATAAAATTTTATTCTCAGTTCAAACTTGCCATCTTGCCATCAAAATTTATTATTCTGGAGCAAATCTCATTTTATTGTGTCGTCCTGTTCAAGGACTGAACATTAAACATTAAAGCATGAAAAGTGATTTCAAATCCGCCGACTTTCATTTTCCGTCTCACTTTCAATTTCCACGCTGTTATATAGTTTTATCGTAGAGCAATATAGCGAGAAGCAAACATGCCCTTGCAAATTAATTAGCCGTAAAACCGGCGGCTCGCTCTAGCTCTCGCGGTGATAAACGGTGCACACGCGAAACTCGTGTGTCTATTTACAAATTCTGCTAGCCAAATGAACTCAACCAAAAATAAATATCACCTATAGATATAAAAAAATTAAATTTTTACGACTGTCGGTCATTCTCCTCGTCAAAAACCTTGGCAATGAAAAAGAAATCACGCACAGATGATTGAGAGAAATTCATTCGAACATCACGCGGCGAAAACTGCATCCATAACTAATTTGCCTCTCGCATCATATTTAATACTGAAATATGTACAATTATTCAAAAATAAAAAATAAATGAGGAATTTAACGGAATATCATGCGAAGGCGAATTATTAAATTATTATGAAGTTAATTAGATAAAATTAAATGGAGTAAATTCCTAGAGGTGTGGAATTATCGGACGCCGGCCAAGAGGAAAATAGCCGAGCCGTGTGAATGAGTTAGCGTCGAGAAATGCACTTTTCACATCCATCAGCATGATCTGCCGACAAGAGAGAGAGAGAGAAAGAGAGGGGCCGACCGTGTCTATAAAAGAGGTGAGCAGACAGCGCGCCGTACATTTACTGTGAGACTCAGGTGTTCCTCGCAACACTCATTCAAGGTAAGATTTTATAACAATTTATTTCATGCATGCTTTATCAAACTTCTCTTATTTGATTTTATTTAATTTATTATTTTATTAATATAACTAATTCATTGCTTAAAAATTACTTATTTGCAATTACTTTACCGTTTGCTACCAACTTAAAAATATAAATATACTATCAACAAAATTAACTTTCATCCTTCACGTACCCATCATTCAATATTTTATTTTTATATCAGGATAATATCCATCTAAAAATGTATACAATTAAAAATATATTATTTCAAATTGATCCTGATTCAGGAGAAAAATTTGTTCAAACTAGTTTATTGAAATTTAGCAGACTTTTGTTGTAATAAAATTACTATTCTTCATTCATTTTATCTGGATTATCAAGAAAAAAAAATAATAAGTTCTTCAATCTAACCAAGTTTTCGCAGCAGTGCATTGTGCAATTTTATAAAAAGCTTAATACGTGTATATGTATCACTTTCATTAAATCATCCCGGCCCGGCCAATCATCCTGCATATATATATTAATCTCGATACAAACAAGCTATTGATTAATTATTTCCGGCTGCACCCGCCACTCTGACATTCTAAATCCCACAGCCGGTGAGCAACTTTCTTTCTTTCTGATAGGTTATTACAAAGAATAACGAGTTGACCCCCACGTAACATTTACAACTTCGCTCGTGGGAAAATGACTTTATCATTATTTGCGGCGTTCACGTCATCTCTTTTATCAATTAAGAAAAAATACTGCCGGTGCTCTTTTTACACTCGAAAGATCTTATCAATGGACGTGCCCGCAATGCCAAGAGTGGACGTGTCTGGCGCACTTTCTCCGTCCCGCGGGGCTTTTCTTGCCTTTTCATGTCTAACTTTCATCCCACACGTCGTCTTTTCCCTGCTCATTATAATACCCCTGGGTCGATAATCACAAAGGACAGTGGTTGTTGATGCTGCTGACCAGTTGTATATATTTGCGTTTCACTTCGCGTGATGCGGCAATAAATTTAGAAATTAAAAACGACGTTTGCTCATTTCTAATTATACTGAAAGTCGATCGTCTCATCCAGAATCACTTTAACGATTTTACTATAGAGCAAGTTGATTTGAGAATGTGCGCGCACGGACTGGACTATTTATTTGTCACTCTCGGAGAGGGAAAGAAGAGAGAAAGGAAAAGGCCACTTGATCTTGATTTGTGTGCGAGTGGCAGTAAAAAAAGTCAAACGCTTTTTGTCCGCGACTCCAACTTTCTTTTTACTCTCTAATTTGTAATTTCAAATGGGGAAAATGTTGAAATAAAATTCCCGAATATATAATATAGCGTCTGTGAAGGATGATAAATTTCTGTCAAATCCAGTCTTGCTTTTCAAACCCAAACCAGTTAAGCAAGTTAGGGCGCGTCATGACTTTATATGCACAATGAATATGATATAATTTTATGGACCCTTCATTTGGTAATTATTATTATTTAAGTTTTTCCTGTCCAGATGTCTGCATTGGCAGAGGCAATTGAGTAAAATCGGCGATTGAGTGATTTAAAAAAATATAATATCATTTCATTTTGGTTTTTCAAGTATTTGAATATAAGATATAAAAATTTATCTCAATGATCTCTACCATTTTGGCATTTTCTTGTCAGATTTGAGAGTTTTTATTGAAAAGACAATAATTTAAAACTTCTTATTAAATCATAAATTTCTTTATTCAACATGAAAAAATTAATTTTAAATGGCTAATTGCAAACAATTTTTAATACCAGTATTTTAACTTTTCTCCTCCAATTTCAGAAATTTAAGCAAATTTACTATTCATTGAGTTAAAACATGTTCAATTTATACTTAATTATCAAGAAATCTTGTAAGTTGTTAGAATTCTGCCCGGTGGCCGGTTGGCGTATCTATTTTGATGGCAGGCGTTTAGTGGCGTTTAGCAGATGAGCAGAATCTGTTAGTAATGATTAGTGAACACTCATACTAATATCAGTTGATTTTCTTTTTTGACGGCATAATATTTAATGTTATAATATTGAAAAAATCAAACTTATTATTGAATATGATTTTTTTTTAAATTCTGAAGAAGAAAAGTTAGGGAAAAACTAACTTTTATATTGGTTCGTGCATAATAATTGTTTTACATTTAATAAATTCAAAACGTTGTATTCTTGGGGGAGAAAAATTAAAACTGAGAAAATCTAATTTTCTTTTCTGATTCTCATTTATGTGGCTGATTCAATAACAATTAGTTTTAAATGAAAGTATGAAATATCGATTGAATATTAAAAATGTAAATTAAATAAAAATGCATAATTCATAATTTGAATTATAAAAAGTTAATAATAATAATGTAGCCTTTAGTTTAAATTGTAATTAGTATGTAGCTAGACTAATGGCTTTTAATTTTTAATAGGGTTTTAAATTAAAAAATTAAATTAATTTGAATTTAATTATTTGAAATTTTTGCAGATGCAGCCACTCGCAACGTGGCTCACAATTTGCTGCTGTGCAGCGGCCGCCGTGGCCCAGTACAACGGAGGCCCTGTCCAGTTCGGACCCACCCCGACGTCGGTGCGCTCGCAGCAGCAGCCGCAGCAGATCCGTCAGCCGCAGCCCAACATCCCCGCATCCTTCCAGGCGCCCCGTTTCGCCACCCCTCAGTTCGCACCCACCCCGCAGAGCTTCCGTCCTTCCATCGAGCACGACTTCCAAGCCACCCCCAGCAGACCCGCCGCCAGACCGCAGCAGGTCGCGCAGAGCATCCCCCAGTTCCAGACCTACAACGCCGCCCCCGCCCCCAAGAGGCCAGCCGCCTCCAAGAACCGTGGCGCCCCTTCCAAAAACCTCGCCGCTCTAGCCGCGGAATTCGAAGAGGAAGAGGAGGAGGAGGAAGAGGCCAAGCCCGACAGGCTGCAGGAACTTCTGCCCCAGAGCAAATTCAACTGCAACGGAAAACACACTGGCTACTACGCTGACGAGGGTCTCTCCTGCGAGGTCTTCCACTACTGCCAGGATGGCGCCCGCCACTCGTGGGTCTGCCCTGACGGATTCACCTTCCACCAGGTAAAATCATAACAATTAACAATTTTTGCTGCTGCAATCGCATGAAATCCTGGCACTGACGGGCGCGACCGGGAACCAAATGACGAGAACTAAACTGGTTGCCGAAGAACCAAAATCACATATTATTAATACAATATAATAGAATATTATGATTCGTCTCTTCGTCTCTTTAGTTTAACTTTTTTCCCAGTAATTTTATTTTATTCATTAAATCATATTATAAAAGCAAATTTTTAACAACTTTAATTTTTTATACAATCAAGACAAGAAATAATTAAAATTTATAATTGAGTTGTCTACTTAGTATATCAAAAATTCTGTTTATTCAGTAATTTTTTTTATTTTTTATTCTTAAATAATTGTGATTTCAATGAGAATTGTAAACAAAAATTTATTTACCATAACCAACATAACGGTTAAATTTGTTATAATATTAAAAGCTCAGTAATTTTATAACTCCTGAGCCTCCTTGCAACGCATGAGTACCTGGCAAAAACAGGCAACCAAACGGCAACCAAAGGGCAACCAAAAGACATCGGCGATTTTTTGTTCCAATAATATAGATGAACCTTGCATTTTTGGGGACTGTCATATAAAAAGAAAATATTTACTCTCGTTGTTCTCAAATTTCGTTCTGACTGCTGAATACATTAAATTTTGTGAAGTACTTAGAATTTTCTTTTTCCAAAAAACGTTTGAATTATTGCAAACGTAATAAGTTCAGCCAAATATATTTTAATACCCTTGATATGGTTTTTCTTCCATTTATTTTATTTTATTATTTTTTTTTAATAATTCTGTGAGATAAAAAGGCACTCATCGTTTTAGCTTCTTTCATTACCACTGGCAATATGAAGCATGCGCAAAAGTTTTTTTAAATAAATATGCAATAGTGGCAGCATTTTAATCTCTTGCTATAAACCGAAGAAACAATTATATAGGTTGGCTAATTTTGTTTAAACTTAAAACTTTTTAGAAATAAGTAAAGATTTTCAATTATTCAAAATTATTAAGATTTACATAAAAGTACTTTTAAAAAATTGGTATTTCCATAACAGTTTTGCATTAATTATTTTTCCCCAATTTTAAAAATTCGTGTCCTCCTTAAAAAGCATGTAAGTCTGGCATTAACAACCATAGACTCGGGAACCAAAATTTTTAGTTCTCTTCCTTATCTCTGCCATTATATAGAGAACTTACATTAAATACCTCCTTCAAATCTATTGAAGCCTGTTACACTCGGGAACTAAATCGACGAACCTCGGGAACTAAAAAGACGAACCAAATAGGCTGCCTAGATTTCTTACTTTACAGAAACTCAATATATGAAGTTCTTAGCAGCATATAAAATTAAATGAATGAAATATCGATTTAAAAAAATTAAATATTTTTAGCACATTAATAAAAATGTATCATTGTCCTTCAGGTTCATCTGATCTGCATGCCTCCATCTCATGACAACATCTGCGCCCAGAGCTCGCAGTTCTTCTTTGTCAACGACTACTTGTACCAACCAATCAACGCCGAAGAGGTCGCCAGGAAGCCCAACACCACCCTCCGGTACTCGGACAGGTACTACCCTGAAAACGACTACCCCCAAAACGAGCAGCAGCAGCAGCAGCCTGCCAAGCAAGCACCCAAACAAGTGCAGCAGGCCCAGGCTCCTCGTCGTCCCGTGGCCGTCGCCCGCCCCACCAACCAGGTCTTCCACTCGCCCCAAGAGGTCAACATTCCCCTGCAGCAACGCAGGGTGCCCACCTCCCAGCAGCAACAGCAGGCGCCTGCCAGGCCTCAGTCTTATGACACCGAGGAGTACGACTACGACGACTTCTCTTACAGACAACAGCAGGGTTAATTTTGTCACATGTTCATAGGGTAGTGCGCGATTCTGGGCAGACCTTATTATTTGGGCCGCATTTTTTTTCTCAATCAACACTGAAATAATTAGTTTTCTGCCGAGCAGAAATATATATTGTTTGCAATACAGTTTTTGTACGCTCATTGCTGCAAATGTGATCAATTTCGTCTGCCCGCGATTGTTACTTTTTAATTTATTCCTTAAGGAAACAATATAAGGTTTCGACCTTATATAAGCGTTGTGCTGTTGACGGACTGTAAATATAACGATAAAAATTACCAAGAGCACTTCTGATTTTCATGTTTGAAGCTCATATTTCACAAAATAAATATATGTATTTAATAAACAAAACAAAATTGCAATCTACTTTATTTTTCAAATGTTTCCTAATTATTTCTAAAATCAAACTACCATGATAGAATTCGCACAGGAAAGCATAAATTTGATAATGAAAATCGAAAAAATATATAAATAACATTTTTCATTAGCTTTAAATTTAAAACTATATTCAGAGCAATCAATTCATTACAATACTAACGTAGGTTTTTTTTAAAGCTTATGCGGCCACGCCGGCCTCCTTACAACGCATGGAAACCAGGCAATAACAGGCATCCAAACGGCAACCTCAGGACAACCAAATGGCAATCATTAAAATTTTGTAGGTCCTGTGCATTAAAATCATTGTTAGAAACATTATAAGAAGTTGATTTTAAAAAATTAAAAATTGAAGAGCTTAATTTTAATTAGTCTTAATAAAATCTTAATTGAAATGAATAAATAATTTGTCCAAATCCATAAAAATGAGGCGTGTGTTAAAATTCTCTTTGATGATTACTCAGCACTTTTTTCATTTGCTAAATTGTAGGGAACCAATACTGGAAAACAACAAAAGAAAACCGAAAACCTGCTTCTCTCAAAATATGATTTTATTTTATTTTACACGCTTTAAAATCACGCAATGAATGTTTTTTTCATTCATAAATAAGGCTATGGCCAAAATAAACTTTAAAATGAAAATTTGTTTTAATATTTAAAACAATATTGAAACTGAAGATTAAATGATAAAAATTATGGCTTAATTCCTTAATTGCTGCCAAATTTATGGCACAAGCTAGAAAATTAAATTGTAATAGTTTTAGTTGTCTTAGTGTTCACAAGATTTCAAATTAATGATAAAAGAAATATCACGATGAGCGATTTGACTCTAGTCTTGAGCGATTTGCACCTTTTATCCTTGTATTTTCTTGTTCACGATGTAGACAAACTGCCTTTCCAAGGCACTTCTATACTTGTTGTAGGTGGTGCAGGAAATATTCTCTGACATATTGCAGACTTGTCTCCCAAATTTCATGTGAATGGCACAAGAAACATTGAAATCATCTTGCTCTTCGCCAAAGGTGCCAAAAAGTGTATCAAAGGAAATGGTCCCATTTTGATGAAGGAAAGACAACTCAGCTGCTTGGTGGTTCTGGACAGATTGAGCATTAAAATAAAAATTAACTAAACTAAATGGAACTCACCCTAATGCCTAGGTTGTAATAATATCTGATTGAGAAGGCATCGTCAAAAGGCAAGTCGCTGCCATCTTCGTGCATGGAAGGCTGGCAGCAAAGGTTCACAGGGAATGGGAACGAGCGAGGGTAGTGAGCAAAGTACTTTCCAAAGTAGTAAAACATGCAGGTTCTGCAAACTCCTGACTTTTCCCAGCCTATCACATTTAAACATGCTGGATTTCCATGCAAGATATCTTCGAACGTCTTTTCAATGTCATCCTTAAATTATGGTTTCAAAAACAAAATGGCATAAAAATATTATGTAAATCAGACCTTCCATTCGGCGCTGCCTACATCGCCGTTGATACCACTGAAGTTGGAAGAAACATCCTTGAGTTCTAAAAGAAAGTGCAAAGTGAATTGTAAATATTTTGAAATATATTTATATTTTATTATATTATACATATTTATTTAAAAAAAAAAAAATACCTTCGTTTAATTGAGTGTGTTGACCAGTCACCATCATTTCCCCTGCATATATGCAGAGAGGGTATTTCATCCCATTTTTCAAAACAGGAGAGAGCAAGTGTGCATTGTAATTGCTGGTGGCAGTCAGAGGGTCAAGGGTGACCAGGCAGACCAGATCTTGCTCAAGGAACAGGTTGTACATAGCAGCATGGAAATGCTAAAAAGCAAAATGAATAGAACCATGTAATGAATATCTAAATAAATTATTACCCTTTGGCCCAAGTTGTAAAAAAATCGAAGAGTTGATACATCCCAGATTTTCAAATCACTTCCATCCATTTCGTAGGAGGGCAGAGCAGATTTGTTTACTAAACCAGGATAACCTGGTACCACAGCCATATTTTGCGGCCCATACACAGACAAAAGGTACTGAGAAACACTGTCTACTCCAGTCAATTGGTCATCTTGCCAGTTATCTTTGGCAGGAGCACACAGCTGCAGCTCCTCCGGCACAGCCTTGAGTGAAAAAATAAATTATTTCTTTAAATTTGATGCTATAAAATTATCACCTTTTTAATTGCAGGAATTTGTTCCTCAGTAGGCTCTGCTTCACTATATCCTTCGTCAACAGAAGTCAGACTTTTAATTTTCTTAGCTGCATTCTTGAAGAAGCTAAAAGGCAAAAAATTAATTATTTTATTAAAACATTTAAAGGGCCCGGGAGAAATTTTGTTACTGTTCATCCATCTCCACAGGCTCTTCTTCGAAGACGTCAACGTCACCCTCGTCATCTGACATGTGGCTGTCCATAGACACAGAGCTATACCTTCGACTGCCATATTTGCCTTAAAAAGATTTTAAAAGTCCATTTACCTCCAATTTTATATTGTTATAGTTCATACTTTTCCTTCGCCTAGTTGCTTTTTTGGCAGCTATCACAGGCTCTATTAGCTCAATTGCAATTTCACACCTGTTTTGGAAAATAATTTTTACTTTGATTTCTTTAATAAAATGCTATTACAGTTCTCCAAGCTGCTCAACAAAAACTACAGCTTTGCCCAGCTCAGGGAACAGCCGCTGCACATAGCCGTAGTATCTGTAGTTGCTTCTTTTGTGAATGATGCACTTGCAACCCTCGAACAGGAAGTTTTTGCTTATGTTTTCAGTGTTGGGACCTTTTAAGAAAAATGTATTGTGAATTAAAAGAATGGTAGAAAGTTTCAAGCACCACTAACTTTTGGCAGAAGCGCAGACGTCATATTCAGTATTTCTGTACACCAGAGGACTCAAGCTCTTAGCAACCTTATAAGGGAAAGGTGGTATGCCCATGTCAATCAAGACTTTTAGGTCCAGCGTCAAGTCAGAATCTTTGAATTTGTTGGTGAGCAAAGAAAGCATGGTTTCTTTGTCAGGATTGACTTTGCTTGCCTGCTGCAAATTCTTCTTTGGCTTTCCAAGCATCATTTCAACAGCAAAGAAAACATTCTTCAGATTGAAAACGTTTACATAAAGGCATTCGTACAGCAAAGCTATGTAGAATATTTTTTAAATTCTGAAGGTGGTTAAAAAAATTTAAAACCTACACTGGCAGATGCCTTGAACTTTGAAGTAGTCAACGGGATAGACACTGTCCCAGCACAGCTGCCTATCGACTGCCAGTTTAATGACTTTTTTGCTCCTCTCCTCCCCAGAGGAGGCACTTTCATAGAAAATAGCATTGCCTGATTCATCGTAAAGATGAATTCCAGTCCTAAGATCACAATAATATGGATTAATTAAAGCTCGTATTGCATGTACAAAATTCAAACCTAAAACAGCACTCAACAGCACACACCATCTTGTGGGTGATGTAGTCAATGAAAGTGTTGCAGTTTTGGTAATTGCTGATGATCTACAATATTTACAAAGCAATTTTAATTTTAGATAAATTTTTCCTTAATATCGCAGTTGGTAATTTTAACCTGTTCAAGTTCTTCGTGCTTTTCATAAAAGTAAAGCAGCATGACCTCCTTAACTTCCTTCTGGTAAGCTTGAGTGCCATAGAGCTGCAATTAACACAAATTTAATAAATTAATTAATTATTCACTAAACTGCAGTGTTAAAAATTTTAAATACTGCTTATTGAAGTTGTTATAATATCAATAATCCTTCAGTTAAGAGTTATTTCAAAACTCATTAGACTAACCAAGTTTCAATCAGTCAATTTTTCAACTGAGTAATTTAATTTACCTGATCAGAAACAGCTCGGAAGATGGTGCTTCCATCTCGAGGCATAAGTTTCCTGCAGAGGCCTTCCTTTTCAAGGGCAACATCGATTTGATCTGGCTTTTTCTTGCTCTTTTGTGAAATTGACTTTCTTTCGCTGCTCTAAAAGTTCCGTCAACACAATAAATATAATATTAGAATTATTAGAATTGACAATTATCCTTTCATATAAAATATAAAAATTCTCACGGTGCTCAGAGCCTCGCTTAGTTGAGAGGTTTGGCTCAGCTGCCTGCTGAAAAAGGCTTTGTTAGCCTCGGCAAATAATAGCGAATCCGGCATGATTGTCGCTGAAAGGCCGTAGAAATTTAAAATCTGAAAATTAATTATTATACATGTCATATAATCATATATTATCGGTCCACAATTAAAAATATATCATGTGTTTGAATGTACAGAAAATAAGAAACTAATAATTTTTTCTCCTAAGTATGTAATAATATTTTGTTTTCGCAGTTTCATACAAAGTAAGAATGCAAAGCGTTTTGTATAATTATGCATGCTGATGCATAAATTACATACACTTGATGAAAATTAATTGTCGTTTCTTCATTTGTGTATGATTGTAGGTAATTAGAAAAATTCCTAGATTAAAAGGTAACATTTTTTACCTTCCAAGATCTAAAATGGCTGGTGAATGATGAAAATCAGCGGTACGCTTAGAAAAATCCTGGTTTGATCCTTTTCTACTCATGCAAACGAATGCAAAGTGGACGAATTTGATGTTCGTTCATCGCTGCATCGACGAATTATTAAAAATAACACAAAAATCGCAAGCTCCAATGCTATTCGCAGAAACTAGTCTGCTTTCTTCGTCTGTCAGCTCTGCCTGGGCTGCCTGCAAGTGTGCGAGTGAATAAAAGAATGGAAAGACGAAAATAAAAGGGAGGCAAAAATGCGGAAAATGCAGCCTCTGGCCTCTGCTGTTAGAAAAATTCCTTACCTCCTTGGACAAAAGTTGGAAACCAAAGTCAACTGTTTGACAAAAAATTGCATGAAACTAAAAGCAACAAGTTTCAACGCTGTTGTGCGCGCGCAATTCGTGGAAAAATACTTACATAGCGCGATCAACTGCCAACTGCTGTCCATTCGCGACTGTCAGAATAAAAATAATATGATTGTGAGAACTATTTCATGATTCATGATCCGACTTTAAAATTAATCCGCAGTACCGCTTCAAATGAAAATATCTTTAATTTTGACACCATAAGATTATTTTGCAATTTTGTGCATGATATGTGAAAAATAAACACTAAATTTGCTAAAATTCTCTTTCTATTTTGCATAAAAAAATTCTCACATCTCACATAATTAGCTCATTTTTCTTTCTGTTCCGCAGTTGCATAGATTTTTTGACAATACATTTTTTTCTATAATTTTCTAAATAATAAGAATAAAATTTAAAAAAATTCTTATAATATAATAGGATAGATTAAAACTTCATAAATTAAGATAATGTACATAATTATTATCATAATCATCATCCTAATTCGCACTCGGAGTTTTCCCCATTGATTTATTACATTCATAATTTATATCAGTGGACCACGGCGACCCCGCCAAGAAATTTTCCCATCAGTCTCCTCCCCCTACCCTTCTCCCTCACATCCAATAAGCGGCGAGCAAAATCCAAGCACAACAATCCACACATGTTTATCTCGTTGTGTTTGTTGTTTAGTTTCGCGGTTTCTTGCCTGTGAAGAGCACAACTCGTGATAAAGGTGCTCTTTTTCCGTTCAAAATCGTTTTTTGTGGACTTTGAAAAAAGCTAAGGTAGTGATTCGTTAGCCATAGGCGTGTTTGAAAATCTTTTGTCCAAATATTTGTCCTCGGGACTTCGCCGGCCGCTCAATTCGATGAATGATTTTCCCTCTTTCCAGCAACGCACCTAATCTGGATAACCAAATCAATTTTTGAGCAGCAAAATCGTTCAAGGTAAGAATTTTTTTGTTCATAAATGTTTTATTTCAAATCAAAAATCTTTAAATCCATTAAAAATTGTCGTTAAAATAATAATAATTAGATTAATGGAGATTCAGAAGATGAAAACTTCTGTAAATATTTATTTTGAAAACATGTTCTAATAATTATTAAAAATTTTATAGCTGATATAATTTTTGTCATTAATAGAATAATTATATTTTTTCAGTTCTTCTTTACACAATAGAATTACAGAGAAATAAAAATATTCTATGGAAATAAATTGCCAATATGTATTTTTTTTTTTTTAAATTTTGAACTGGGATTTTTTACAATAAATAAAACAACCATTGAGTAGAACAGAAAACGCCACTTAATTTCTACAGCTCAATTTAACAAAAAATATCAAAACACAGCGATAAATGTTGAATTTTTTTCCTTTTCACCAGGAAAAAGGCCACTTATGAATGAATTTCGATTTTCGTTCAACAGAGCTTTGATTGTTGTCACATTGATTGAATTTTCAAACATTTTGGTTCTTATACAACAATTTTTCTTACATACAACTAATATTTATACATGTGCTTGCCAAATAATCTCACATTAAATTCACGTAAACAAACATTATCGGTTACATACCACCATGCAAAGATTAAATAATAAATATTAATTCATTTTCTTCAACACAGAGTTATATTCGTACAAAAGTTTTTTTTATACACGGCATGCTCCATTTGAGAAGTCTTTTTAGACATAGAGAGAAAAACTTTGAATTAATTGCAATTTTTTAATTTCACACGCCCACTTTTTGAGATTGTGTGTCACTTCTTGTTCTAAAGCATTTCGGGAGAAACTTAAGTATAATCGGAGTCCATGTTTTTTAGGGAAACAAGGGGGCTTATGAAGCTCAACCAAAGTAGAAAATGAATCCTGAAAATTGATTAAGAGAGGGAATGGTCACCGGCCGCGGGTCATGCCGAGGCAATTGCATTGCCCCGGGCATGGCTCGAGGGAACGGCCAAAATTTTAATTAATTGGGTTTTCGGAGAATTAACTAAAACACGCGTGTTTCACAGCTCGAGACCGCCTTGGCTTGCTTCAGAATTTATCACAGCTCATTAACCACCAAATCCGTGGAAGTTTAAAATTACTTTAAGAGTTCAAAGGGCTGGTATGAATTTATTTGAAATCAGAAGATTGTGACTTTTTCTAATTAAATAACTACTTTCATAATTTTTTAAATCATCCGGTTTCAAAAAGACAGCAACCCTGCTGAACCCTGACAAGAAAGGCAGCTTTCCTGCCTCATGACAAAAACTTTGAAACTCTTTTCCAAGCCAAGACAGCCTCAATCAGGCTGTTTATTATTGTAACGGTATGGAATGCTCTGTAAACGCTCTTCCTCCTCCTCCTCCTCCTCTAAAATTTCATCCTCCCCGTCAAAATCATACTCATAATCGTAATCATCCCTTAAACCATCCCTTTCCCGCACCCTGACCAGGTTCCCGTCCTGGTCAATGATGTACTCGTCGTCCTCGTCGTCCACCTCCTCCCCTTCCACCTCCTCCTCCTCGTTCTCCTCGGGAATTATCTGCATGTTCAGCAGCAGTTTGGGGGTGCTCGGAGGCGTCGGGGGCGGCGGAGGAGCGAGAAGGGCAAGCCCAGGAAGGGGGTCAGGGTCTGGCACGTCGTCTCCGGGGCCGAACTCCGGAGTCCGTTCGCGCCTCTTGAGTCCGGTGAGTTGAAGGAACTTCTCTTTGGCGCGCACGTAGAGTTTGTGCAGCAGGTAGAAGGCCACGATGCCCAGGCCCAGGTGCCAATCGACCGAAATGGAAATCCAAATCACAAAAAGACCCAACGCGACGTTGGTGGCTTTGTTCAGGGTCTCCTTGGCCGCCTCACCTGTCACCGCTCGCTGGCCGCTGCTGCTTCCGCTCTTGGCCTTGGACGACGGCTTCTCGTCGGCCGCCGGCGCCGCCTGTTGCAAACTGGCCCACTCGTGCTTCGGGGTGGCCGACCGAGGCGGCGACGGCGGCAGGTCGATGACTTCGTCCTCCTCTAGGTCGTCTCCCTCCTAAAATACATTTTCATTAAACTTTTAATCATACACGAGAAACAAATTTAGTTAGCCCTAGCCCAAAGAAAATATAATTTATTAACTGTTTATTAATTTATTAAAAAAAATCTATCAATTTTCTTTTTTTCTTCAATCTCAGTGAAATTTAATATGACATTTAATTTTCATTCTCTTGATTAATTTTTATTCATGCAATTTTATAAATTTTAATTTACTTTTGTTATTTATTTTTCCCTGACATTAACATGTGAAATTTTTTTATTTTTATTTATTCTTGATTTTACTTACAAGTATTTCATCCTCTGGTAGCAATTTAATTTTGGCCGATGCATCCTCCTCATCTTTGGTGATGACAGGACTTGGTGAGTGAATCGACGCTTCCAAAGGATCCTCGTCCTCGTCTGCTTGAGACTTCATCTCATCGATGTCCAAGTAGAGACGTCTTGAAACCGATCGTCTTCCGGAACTAAAATGAATTAAATAATTAAAGTTACCCGAAATTAAAACGTATTATTTTAAATATTTATAATAGATGACAAATTTTCATTTGTTAGGTTTACGGACTTTTTATTATCTCTTGCAGGGTTTTGGGAGAATAAAATATAAATATAAAATATATAATATTATAGGAATTTAATTATACAATCAAAATCAGATTTTTTTTTGAAAATTTTGATAAAAAGTTAATAGAATTATTCTTTTTATTCTTTTAAATTATAAAGTAGAGCAGAATTGTTATTTGTAGGGAAAATAATAGCACATTTGAAATAAAATTGTTGGCTTCACGTCCACATCCGTTGCACCGCCTATTGAAAATGACAAATGACGCAAATCAGGAAAGCGAACTAGACAGTCTTGCGTGGCCCACATTTGCTCGTGCACCGTCACCAGCTGATTTTGTTCAAATTTTCACATGGACGTTTTGCACTGATTTCTGAAAAAATGCTGATTCGCCTTTTTTACAAACCAAATGTGAGTTTTCTTTTGATGCTCATAACTGCAATTGCGTGCATGGGATTCGTGATGCACTTTGTTCAAAACGAATTCATCCGCCTGTCTGCTAACTGGGTGAGCATGAACTCTACGGTGGCCAATTTGGATGGTTTAATCAGGTGGAAGAGCCAAATCAATAGAGAGTACGTGCTCAGCTTCGTCAAATCAACTATATCGCTAGGTTTTTAGTTTTTTGCTATTTTAAATATTTTCGGCAAGTTATTTTTGTTCCAGATATTAGACAATGGTACACCTATTCCAAATCTGAAGGTAAATTTGCGCTTATTCACAAATTTAAATTTATATTTAATAACAAAAGTGGACATGCTGAGCAAATTACCCCAAGACAGCTCAGAACTCGTAGAACACATACGGAGAAACTTGCTGGTGCCACCACCGACCGATCGGAAGGTTTTGGAAGCAAAAGACACCTCCAAAGGTCAAGCCAAAAAAGTATTACAGTACTTTGGAAATAAAGTAAAATTTTAAAATGAGATTTTATTCAAATTAAAAATTTTAAATTTTCGGTGCAGAGCCACGGGATTTTTATTGAATGCGGGGCAAACGATGGAAATTTTTTGTCCAACACATTGTGGCTGGAAACTGCTAATAATTGGACCGGCGTTCTCATAGAAGCTGAGCAAAACAACTTCAAAGGTTTAATGGCGGCAAAACGAAATGCTTGGCTTATGCCGACCTGCTTGAGTTTGACGCAACATCCGTCAATGGCAAGATTTTAAATAATTTTAAATATAATTTATATTATAAAAAAATAAATAAATAAAATAGATAACGATGGAAAAATCCGGTGCCTGGGCGCGCATAAAAGGAGACACACACGTTTCGGACCCAACGTCTGTTCAGTGCATGCCGTTGTTTTCAATTCTGCTGGCTATCAACCAGACCATAGACTATTTTAGTCTCGACATAGAGGGCCACGAGCTCGATGTCTTGAGAACTGTGCCATTTGACCAAATCGACGTGAAAGTAAACACTAAAATCTAAAAAAATAAACGTCAACTAAACTAGCCCATGTGTGCAGATGTGGTCCATCGAGCACTCGAATATTCAAGAAGGGGGTGATAAATTAATGGATTTTATGATCCTGAACGGCTACGAAGCTTTATCGTCCACCCCTGAGGAGCAGAAAGGGAAGTGGGCGCAGGAGGATTTCATTTTTGTCAAGAAAGATTTTGTTACCGATTTTAATGTTCACGCTATTCACAACCATTAAATCTTTTTTGTTCTTTTGTTTCAATGAATTAAATTTTTAACTTGAATAAAAAAAAAAAATGATGCCAGACTTACTCTATATCGTTGATTAACTCTCCGTAGCGTGAAACGACGATGGCTCTCGCCTCGGCTTCCTCGGCGGCCTTTTCAGACTCGGTGCTCATCCGGAGAGAGGGTGTCTTCTGCTGGTAGGCCTGTCTTCTTGCAGGTGCGTCCGGCGCCCCATCATCCCTCACCATCTCGACGGGTCTCCTAAGTTTCATCCCTAAAATGCTTAAACCTAGAACAAATTTCATTTGGTGTCAAATAATGAATTAGAAAATGTTTTTCATTTAAAACCTTTTTTCTCCTTTGACTTTTCCTCGTTTGCGTTTTCTGTTGCGGCTTCTTCAACCTTTTTGCTCTTTTTGTCTTTTGATTTACTGCTCTTGGCAGACTTTTCTTTAGCTTTCTCCTCCTTTTCTTTAATTTTTGCATCTTCAGCAATTTTTTTATCTTTTGATGACAACAACCGTGACATTAGGCCTCTCTTTTTCTTCGAAGGCGTCGGTGATGGCTGAACTGGCAACGTTTCTTGCATATCCAAAACCGTGGGCACAACCAGAACTGGCAACTTTATCGGCAGCTTTTCTTCAAAAACTGCCCTTGGAGGAGGAGTAGGTGGTGAATTTTCATCATTTTCGTCACTGTCGAAAATTATCATGCCCTTTCTCTTGTCAGCGTTACTAACTCTAGGTTCCTCAGGAATCGCAACCAGTTTTTCAAGATCTTCTTTGACCTTCTCTTCTACCGGTTTTATCTGCAAGTCTATTGGCGGGTTTTCAATGTTTTCAACAACAATTTCCATTTTTTCCACCACTACGACGTCCATCTCAGACGGCTCTGCCTCTTTCTTCTCAACTACAGTTTTCCTCGGCGGCTTTCTCAGATTTGATCTCAATAAGGCTCTTGATGAAAGCAATTCCGTCTCCTCCTCAGCCGGCGGCGGCGACTCCACCGCAGCAACCTCAGGCACAGGTTTAGGTTGGAGCTCAGCCTCGTCGATTTGCGGCACTTTGAAAACTTCCACCTCGTTGCTGTTCACATCAACCTTTTCTTCGACCGGCTTCCTCCTGTGGAATCTGTGTTTGGGTATCGGCGGAGGTTCTGGTGGAGGCGACGGCTCTAGTACGACGCCTTCCGGAGGTTTCTCCATGATGATCACCTTGCTGAACGGCGACACGCTGCGGGCACTCCTGATACTCCGCGGCGTCGTCGGCCTTGAAATGACCATATCTTCAACGTCGTCGTAGTCGTGATCTTTGTACAGGAAAGGACCTCTGAGGTAAGGGGAAACGGGCCTAATGTCTTCATCTTTGTAGCTATCGCTGAAGGTAACCGGCGTGTGCGTCCTGGGAATCTCGGTGTCGGCCGTTTTGTTTTTCTTAGCTTCACCCAGCTCCCGGGAATTTTCTGCAATTTTTCTTTTTGGTTTTTTCAACACAGACTTCAGAGGGCGTTTTTCCTGGACAGGTGATGGAGGAGGCTGAAATTTCATAAAAATATTTTGGAATTAAAATTTTTTAAAAGGTTTTTTATTCACCTTTATTTCCTCTATTTGCCCCGTGTCCGTAATTGTCGCTCTTGGAAAGATGTTTTCAGGAACTTGATTCATTTCAACCGCGTCCTCCTCAATCATGGTTTCTTGACGCTTTTTCTCATTTCTTGCCTCTTCAGCAGCTAAAGCCTGTTGTTAAGAAAAGAAATTTTAAAAAATTTGGAAAAAAATGGTGCAATAGTTTTATACCTGATAAAGACGAGCCATTGCTTTTTCATGCAACAGTTCTGTCGAGCTAACCGCGTTTCTTTGGAACTGAATTGGAGTCATCTCGTCCGTTTGCATTCCCAGGGCTCTTAGCTCAGGTGCCGAGAGTGACATCGGTGGTGGAGGTATGTCAAGCGAGTCTTGCTGCTTCAAAGACGGCTTATGTTGTTCTGGGGGAAAATACACATAATTTTTTTCCACTATAATAAAATCTGTTTGATTTTTTTTTTAATAGATGAGAAAGATGTAATTTTTTTGCATCTCACCACTTTGGGTTTCCGTTGTGACACTTTGTGCGTCATTGAGCTTGTCCTTGGAAGGAATTAAAACTACCATGAGCTCGTCGGAATTTGCCCTGTGCATATGTAGCTCATCGTTTTCGTTTTCAATCTCCTCCTCCTCCTCTTCTTCTTCTTCTTCCTCGATCTCCTCTTCCTCCAATTCTTCCTCTGAATATTCTGACTCTTCCTCCTCCATATCACTGCCCTCTTCTCCTTCTTCGTTGATAATTTGTTCCTTAACCGGCGGTTCTACCACTAAATATTCAATTGAAATAATTTATCAGTTATTGTAAAAACAAATATCTTACCACTTTTTACTGGTGGCGGCTGAGGTGGGTCAGGCTTTTTTGGTTCAGACAAACCAAACATCTCTGCTCTTCGCCTCCTTCTCTCTTCCAACCACTCATCCGTTGCTATATTTCCAATATCAGAAGAGGCAGTGTCATTTGCCGGTGGTTTGAATAAACTGCACGAAAAAATAGTTATCCAGTTGAATAATGAAATAATGAAATTCTTATACCCTCTTTTTGGGTCAGGAATGAAAACTGTATCAGATTCTTCACTAGGGTCGCTTATGCCGTAAGGATTTTCCGCTTTTATCCTAAATTTGTATTCTGACCCTTCTATCAAATCATCTAAAGTTGCGCCTAATTGTCGGCAGGTTGCGGCTTTTAGCCAAACATTCCAACCAATCTAAAATTATTTTTTTTTGTTTAATTGTGCAACAGCTTAAATTTTGATTTTTACTCACCCTGTAATAGTCAACTATGAAATTGCCTATTTTGCATCCTCCGTCGTCACTTGGTGCCCTCCATTCAAGTCGAACTGTTCTGCCTCTGTGCGATGCAATATCTGGTTTGCCCGGTGGCTGAGGCCGATCTTTCAAAACAGCATAACATATATTTTTATTCTTTAAGCAAATAGTTTTATCTTACCAGTGACCGTGACCAGCACGGAGGCTGTGTCCTCGCCCAGGTCGTTGCTCGCCCTGACCATGTATTCTCCTCGGTTGTCCCTGTTCGAGTCGAGAATTCTAAGAGAGGTCGCGTGCTCTGTGGTCAAAATTTCGCACTTCAAGTCGTTTTGGAGCTGTGGCAAATTCACAGAATTAAGTTTGAGGTTGGCAATTCAGTCTGAAAACGTGTTTACCTCCTCGCCATTGTGGAGCCAGTAGATTATTGGCGTCGGTCGTCCGCTGATGGTCGCTTTTAATCTAATTACGTCACCCATTTCGAAAAGTACTCCGTCATCATACGTCTTTGGGAACTTGACACGCGGTGGAGCTGTTTTTTTTTTCAAATAAATAAATCAGACTTTAAATTAAGAAATATTTAGTCGGGGAATACCATCAACTCGCAAAGTCGCCTTTGTCACGATGTGGCCTGCCCTGTTTGTAGCCGTGCATTTAATCTCTCCTTCGTCACTCAAGGCAACCTTGATGCGGAACAATAGAGTTCATTAGCGTTCTAATTTTAAGTGTCTTTTTATTACTTGATAGAAGGTGATTGAGCTGCGCTCGTTGTCGGTCACTATTTTCACCCTCTTCGAATTAAAAACTTCGTAGGCATCTTTATACCAAGCGATTTGGGGCGTTGGTGTTCCCAAAACGTGGACGGAAAATGTTACCTGAAATTTTGAAGCACAAAAATGTTTATTGAAAATTTGTTCCTGTTTTAAATACAATTTTTCTAATTTTCCAATTATTTATCATTTCGTCCTTACTCTTTCTTGTTCCGCGGCAATGACATCCTTGAGGTCCTTCATGAAGTGGGGCACCGTGGCGATGCTGCCAATGTTGACCAAGATCGGTGGTGTCGGTTCGGACGGTTCTGAGAATCCGAGCGCGTTCTCCGCCATGACCCTGAATTGGTACCTGCGTCCCGGCTCCAGGCCGGCCAGGTTGACCTCAGGGTCCCTGGTGAGGGCGGCATGCGCTCGGACCCACGTGGTGCCCGCGGTGTCTCTGCGTTCCACCAGATACCCTTTGAACAAGAGAGGTTTTTTCTTTATTTTTCGCTCCGTGGTTGCTTTTGTTGTCTTTTTTCTTTTGCTCGCGGCCGTCTTGTTAATTCTCTCTCGGCAAGCGGCTACTTGGGCCGCCACTCCCCTTTGCAAGCACCCAATTTAGACTGCGTGACCTTTGCGTCAGAAAACTCCTACAATTCAAGTGTGCCGTGTTTTGTGTGAGTACGCTCGTGCTGCCCCTTTTAACACCCGGCCCAGACTTGCTTGCACTTTCTGCTATTCGCGGACGCAGTCGTCGCGATGAAATCACTGCGGCGTGATTTAAAATAATTGCTGTCATACCTGTAATCGGGGTTCCTCCATCGTAATCTGGTGGTTTCCAGCGCACTGTGATGACGTCTGGCTGATGAAATTGCAGCAAGTATTCATCGGTCGGTGGTGGAATCACATCGGGTCTGCCAGGGCGACTGGGCAATGCTGAAATTTAATTTTGAACACCGTTTAAGATTTAAAACAGGAATTTAAAACTTCATTTTATATTAAACTGAAATTCTTTATAATGACGTCAAATTAAAATGATTAAAATGTTAAATATTATATCTAAATATAGGTAGTTATTTAAAAGTGTAAGAATATGTAATTTTATAATGTGACAAAATATTCCCTGCATGTTTCAATGAAAGGCGTTTAACATTAATTTAATGCAGATAATTTTTGCTTTACTATTTATTTGTTTTTATTTAATACAAATGTATTAATGTAGCTTTATTTCATAAAATAATTTGATGAAAATTAAAACTTAATTTTCATGTAAAAAAACAGATAGTATTTAAGGTGCCAAATATTACTACAATTAAACACGTGTCATATTGCCTTCACAATATAAAAATTACTTAATTCTTAAACATTACTTTTCAATGAATAAATGGAAGTAATCATTTAAATAATGAATTCAGTGTTATGTTGTTCACGCAAAATAATTATTTGCCACCAACCCTTCTTTGTTTATTTTTAATTCATTGACTGTTTTTTTTTTCTTTTAAGAGGCTGTGAAATAAGCTTTTCTGCTCTCTCGGCGATAAACAGACAATTTAAATCAGTGGCGTTGGAAGAGCGAATAATTTGGCCCAAATCACACCCAGTTGGCAATCAACGGTGTTTCTGCAATCGCCGAAGATTTCAAAACGAGCACTTTGAAAGGGGCCCCCAACGCATACGCATGCCAATTGTGTGAGTGGTGCAAAGGCACCGTTCATGTGAGTGCGATCGTTCGGAAAAAAATGCGACCTCGGCCGAAGGTGGCGAATAATAATTGTAATGTTCAAAAGCAGGGAAATGCGTGCGTGTGGACCGCCTTGGCGCTTTGTTCCGAGAATAGAGAGCGGCGCCGTCGGCCAGAAATAACCAGGCAAAGAAAGACTTGGTGCTCGCCGCGAGCGGGCCAACTGCAACTGCATGCACTGGACACTTACTTGCGGAGCGCGGCACGTGCTGCCATTTATTTATCGGCGGCCCTTTGCTCGGGTTATTGCCCATAATTATCAGCCAGCAGCAGTCATAGCGCAGCGGACGGAGGGAGCCTCGGCACCGGCGGCCAGCGAGCGAGCAACACTATCCACCGTCCATCCCCAGCCCCCAGACCCAGATTTAGAACACCTCCTGCCCCGAGACGCCCAACGCCATCTCGCACCCAACCGCGCCGACCGACCCACCGCCGACTCCGACCGTCTGCCGCGACAAATTCCCGAACCGCGCGGCCTCGTGCTGCTCACGCTCTTTGGGTAGGCAACCGGTGTGACGAGCGAGTACCGCGGGTTGCAGAAATATTTCCTGGCAGGCGCTAAAGTCTATAAATTGGTTATGCGGTTAATTTAATGCAATTGCTCTTGTTTTATTACTTTCAATTCTAATTTTGGTTCATCCTTTTGCCATTATGTTTCATGAATGAAAAAATAGCTCACGTATAAAATTAACTAACTATAATAAATATAAAATAGTATATTAACTTCAATTTAACAGTAATATTATTAACAAATTTATTATTTTTTATAATTTTAATTTTACCAAATTTCTAATATTCTTCATTTAATAATTTGATTAGAATTTTCATGAAATTAAATCTTTCTTTAATTCATTTCAATCTGCCGATTTTGATTTGCTATTTCATCTTGGAAAATCTGACATTAGTTTTTTTAATTTCAGTCAGAGTTAATTAAGTTGTGGTAATGAAGCCGAACCTGCGATGAATAGGATCTGAATCTATAACCCTGAGGAGTTAAACCAATCATAATATAGCAGATGGGGTTTTTTGATCTCGGAAGTTATGACATAATTTTTGCTAGTGGTGGTGCCAACAATGCCTTTTTTCAAACAAATTGTTTACACAAATTTAACGTAAGCATAGCGAATGAACTATTTAACAAAGAAGTCACAATAAAAAATAATAAACAACTCTGCTCTGTTATAATTGCATTGTTTTTTTATGCAGTTATGTGCAGCATTTTTTGCAAACAAACGCTTATTTGCAAAAAAAAATCCGTTAAAAAAACCCCAGCCTGTATGAAACTGCAAAAGTGTTTTCTCTCTCCCCAATCCTGTTTTTGACAACATCTTACCTAGGTTATCGTGCACCCTTATGAATTTCTTTAGTGTCAGGGCGTCGCTCACGCCAGCTTCGTTCTCAGCCATCACGCGGAAATTGCAAAGGATGTCTGCTGGCAGATTGTTGATCTGGATGCCGGTCTCGTCAGCTTCTAATTCCTCTCGTCGCCTGGAATTTCTCACGATAAAGCACCCCCAACTAACCCAAATTACGCGACCCTTGAACTGCATGTACAATTTTTAGCATTCGTTTTTTGGTATATAAAAATGTTTTTTTTTTTTCAATTTTAAACTGCCCCTTTCGTGATGGTCGCAAGTACCCATACAAACCTTAACAACTTCTTAATTTAAAATCCTCCATTACCAGGGAGGTAGTTTTATCAGTTTTAATATTACTTGATGATGTCCTTGGAAGCACAATCTCTTGTTGGGTACATAATTATCTCCACTATGTACTTGAGGATACGGCTGCCTCCGTCACTCGGCGACGGATTCCAGTCCAATTCCAAAGAATTTCCGGTCACTTTGCTGACCTCAAGTGGTCCTTCTGGCCTGCCTGGCGCTTCGGGGGCGCCTGATTCGCATTTTTAAAATTAAAACTAACACTTAAAAAAACTTGAATTGTTTGCCTCCTTGTATCAAAGTTCATTTTGATGTTCAAAGATTTTTTAATTAGATTCCATAGGCAGGGAAAATGTTATTATTTTAAAAAGATATCTCAGTTCTTAATAACCTGTTTGCTAAAAGACTTAAAATTAATTATTTAAATAAATGTGATAGAGCAAAAATTTATAAATAATTAATAAATTACCAAGCATTATATTTAAAAAAATATTTATAAACAATTGGAACTAAAATTTCATCCAAATATAAAATTATAAATATTTCAATTAAAATTTTTTAACTGGTTTTTAATGATTATTTAAAAAATATATAAATCAATAATAATTAATACCCCCCTTTCAAATTTCTTTTATTTTTATAAATATTAAAAATAGCAGCAAAAATTAATTAAAAAAAACAGAATAAAATAAAATATTTCTGATAAAATAAAATAATAATTTTCCTGTTAATTTTACCACCGAGCAAGGCACTCAATCAAATCTATTGATTTTTATTTGATCAGCCAATTGATTTTGCTGCCTTGCCCAGTGGTCAAACAGATAACGAAGGAATGGTTTGTGAGCAGTAACAGAAATCACCACAATTTTGATTGCTTCTCGTACACATTTATTAAATTAACAACAGGCCCCATGGAGAGGCCGCTGAATACGGGCAAGAAAAGCTGAGAGAGCACCTACTTTTTTCGGCCTTTCCTGCTAGAATTCAGCAGCGACTCCCCGCCGTTTCGTGCTGAAGGATTTCTTTTTTGAAGTTTTCGGGAACCGTCGCTGCATTTTGGGGCAAAATTCTTTCTCATTTTTAAACCGTCTGCAAGTTCAGCAAGACGCTTGGCAAGAACACAAAAGCTAAAACTCTTCAAGCAAATAGTCTATTCTCTGGCATAATGTATGTACAAAACTATCGAAGCGCGCAGGGACTATTCTAACGAGAGGTACAAAATTCACTAACCGCACTAAGCCCCAATCATTTCACTTCTGGTTTGCACAGGATTGAAGATGGTCGGTTTCCTCAGAAATGAAACCTGGGGGCTTAGTCTTGATTTGACAACTAAGGAGACGAACACAGTTGTAAGAAAATGTACACCATAATTTTTGACCTCTCATATGCCTTTTTTTAAATAATCAATTCTTGTTTGTTTTTTCCTGGAGAGGTCATTTTTTTTATAATTTTTTTTATCATTTTGCAAGGCTTTTTACTTGAAGAGTTTTCTAGCGTAGTGCCAAATTTTAAAGAAGTACTCATCCCTCTTAAGTAGGGACGCTTTGGCGTATGATTCGATATCGGCATCCATTCCAGCCTCGCGCATCCAGGAGGTGGTGGTCTCGGTGGTCAGACTTAGTGAAGGCGCGTCCCGATCGAAATCGCCCTCGCGCAATCCCCAATCCAACAGATCAGAGTCTGCGGAAAACAATCAGAATTCAGAGGTGTTTTGGACACGCAGCGAACTACACACGACATGCACCGACACATATGTGAATTTAATTAGCACGAGATTCAAACCACAAGTGAGTAGTCAAGTGTTAAAAAATTCTCGTGCACACCCCAAATTCACTTCCAGGCACGTCGGTTAGTTCGATTCCAATCATTATTTTATTTATTTGTGCACGATTTGGAAATAAATTTTTGTTTAGAGGAGTCGAGGTTCAGACCGTTCCGTTTTGAAAACTTATGATAATAGACTGGGCAAGCGTTTGAATTCCGCAAAAAATTGGCTGGTGTTCAAAGAACTGCTTGGCAAATTAGTCTCGCATGCCTTGCTGCAGCAGTAAAACCAACAGACTTTCGTTCTTCTTTCAACCAAAAAACGCGAAAAGTGTGACATTGTGAATTTAAAATATTTCTCACCAGCTGGCCTGAGGACTTTGACGGGCTCCTCGGACTCCAAGGGATCGCTCATGCCGACCTCGTTTCTTGCGAAAATGCGTAGCATGTAGTCGTGACCCTCCTGAAAACAATGGAACAAAAAAATATAGTTAATAATAAAATTACAAAATGGAACTGAAAATTTAATAAAATTTTGCCGCTTAAAAATAATTACAATAATCAGTAAATATCTTTATTTTTTATTATGGAAACGAAAAGATCAGGCTTTTCCTTGTTGCAATTTTTTTTAAAAAAACAAATGGCTCTAGCAGTTTTGGTCATCAGCAAGATGAATAAAAAATAAAATCAGCGAAATTGAAAAACAAACGCCACATTTTAGCACAAAAATTAAAATAGTAAAACTAAAAAATTTAATACCAACTTATTTCATGAGCAAACGCGTTTCTCGCTGACTAATACATGTATTAGTTAATTGAATTTGTATTCAAATTTTTATATTAAATTTTTTTTTCAATTTTGCAGATCTTTTGTATTTTTCTTGCTCATGAAATTGAGCCATAACAATTTTTGCAACAAGGAAAAGCCTGATCTCTTCATTTCCATGATCATCTCCTCCAACGTCAATTTCTTCAAACAAATTTATTTATTATCTTAAGTATTTACCTGAAGGTCTTTAATGTTGAGCTTTTGTACGTCAGCCTTGACCCTTCCGACCTCCATCCACATGGTCTTTCGCGCCTCCTTGATGACAATTGTGTAGCCCTCAATGGGCGCCCCGCCGTCGCTTTCGGGTGTACCCCAGGCCACGGTGATCGAGTGGGGACCCACGATACGCACCTCCAAGGGAGCGGTTGGTGGCGAAGGAGGCGCTGGAAATGACAAGATTTTTTTCTATTAACAATTCTTGATCAACGTTTTGTAAGGGTAGGAATGAAGGTGACAATTTATCACATACAGAAAATAAACAAAGACACAGGTAACAAAAATTTTACCGCTTGCGTTACCAATTTTTGAGTCGAATCAATTATTTATCTGAAATTTGGTCGCTTTTTGCTTCCAATGAAATAAAAATTATCTCTATTGAACAAATTATTGGACACTCACATGCGTGCGTTTTGAGCTGCACCGGTCCAGTTTCGGAGGGCTCACTCAGGCCTATCGCGTTTTCAGCGTACACTCGGAAGTAGTACTCAGACTTTTCCTTCAGGTTGGATATGCAGTGGAGCGTGACTGATGGCTCTAGGGTGCACACCTTTTCCCATGACTGGCTGCTCGAAATTCTCTTTTCAATGATGTATCCTGCAAGTGTTAGGAATTTTATTAGTTAATAATTGCCAGTATTTTTTTTCTTTGAAAATACCGGTCACTTCAGCGCCACCGGTGCTTGAGGGTGGTGACCACTGAAGGGTGACGCTGCGACTGGTGACGTCAATCACGCTCAGTTTGGGACTTGATGGAGGAGCTGAGAATAAAGTTTAAATTTAACTATCATTTTTTCAAATCTAAAAATTTACAACAATTGAATGTAAACAATGTGATGTAACAATTTTGTAAAAGAAAAACAATATCAAAAGATATTTTTGAGTTAATTTAAAAGCAAAATTTTATAGGAAATATAGACTTACTTATTCTCTTGCCAATGGTGATAACTTCGTCAGGAGCTAATGCAGGACCTGTGCCAGCTTCATTTCTTGCTGTGATGCGGAAGTTATATGAAGTATTTAGCTGCAAAAAAAGAACATTTTGTTTTTGCCCAAAGCTCCAAATAATATCATATTAAAAGCACCTTTAGTGATGTGACCTCGATGTGTGTGATTTCAGATGTGGTGGTGCCGACCTTCTGCCACGCCTTTTTGGTGACCTCCTTGCGCTCAACCAAGTACTCGATGATGGGAGAGCCGCCGTCAGACTCAGGTGTGTGCCATTTTACTGTTAAGGACGTGTCAGTCATTCCAGAAATGTCAAGTGGTCCTCGCGGTGCAGATGGAGGTTCTGCACAAGAAAAATTATTATTAAAATTTTTGATTTTACAAACTTTAAAAAAAAAAATTAATAATTTTACCGAATTGACTCTTCACAACAATGGTGCCGCTCTCAAGGGCATCGGAGGTACCCACAGGATTGGCAGCGGTCACTCGGAACATGTATTCAGAGCCCTCGCGAAGTTTTTGAATGGCGTATGAGTTGATGTCGCCTTCGACGTCCGCAACCTTCATCCAAACCATCTTCTGCACGTCACATTTTTCCACCGAATATTTGGAAATGTCGAGGCCACCGTCGTCTGCTGGTGGCTTCCATTCAATGGTGACTGATTCCTTCTGGATTTTCTTAACTACCAGCGGTCCCTCCGGCTTACTTGGCTTGTCTGCAAAGATATTATGGGTGTGAGGAATATTTTTTTATAAATTCCAAATTAAAAAATGACTGTATTTTTTTTTGGCACGTTGAGTTCGACTGAGGAACTTATCCAACGGCAGGGTGATAGCGTGCGTGTCCATCAAAAATCGAAATAATCGCACACACTGTTCGTCAAGACAAGACTCGCGGACTCGCTCGATTAATTCCAGCGTGTCACAACATTTTGTACATACACTAGGGGTTGCAAAGAGATGATAGGAGAAATAATTCGAATAGGGATCACATGATATGATGAAAGAAAAGAGGGACGAGCACACAGTTCAGAAAAGAAGTACAGAAACTGTAAGGAAGATAATTTTATAAATATCCAGACGTTCTCTGGGATGTTATAACGAGAAGGGTATTTTCTAGAAAACAATGTTTCGTAGAAAACGCAAAAACCATGACATACGTAACGATTACAAAATATTTTGAACGAAAGCAACATTATTTTCTAGGGGACTAAATGAAACAGAACGACATTCGACTGATTTAAATAAAATATTGACGAAAATTTTGGAAGGGGTGAACTTGCAGTGTGCAAACAGAACATTTATTTTATCTGCTCAATTACCGATGGGCTCCTGACTAGGGGACCTAGACTTGCTCAAACGCAATGTATCATCTGCGATAAAAAAAAATATTCAAGAGATTAATCAACCCACTTAATTTTTTTTCTTTGCAACGGCCAATTATTTTTTTATTTTAAATATTCTTACCGTGAAATACTGTCAAAATAATTAATATTTTTAACGTACCAATGACCCAGAGATTGAGATCAAGCGAGGTCGTTCCTGCGCTGTTGGTGGCCGAAACCTGGTACAGTCCAGTGTCGTCCCTGGCCAGTGTGTAAATAGCAATTGTCGTCGACTCCTCGTCCACATACAGCGAGCATTTTTTGGTTGACTCGAGTTTCTTGCCATCCTTGCTCCAAGAGATCTCAGGTTTGGGGAAGCCGGAGAATTTGACTTCCAACTTCCATTGGTTGTTAACTCTCTGCTTTTGGTTGATGAGGGACTCGTCGACGATGACCAAACGCGGCTTTTCCTGCACCACCAGCACGCTGCTGGTTTCAGCAATTCCTGCCGAGTTGATCGCCTGGCACGTGAATTTGGCGCCTGAAGTTTTCTCCACCTGGTTGATGACGTATTTGGCGATGCGGTTTTCGTAACTCATGCTCTTAGCCTTGAACTGCTTCCCATCCCTGAGCCACTTGATTTCAGGCTCGGGCACGCCGCCGATAACGCAGGACAACGTGACTGGCACGCCCAGGCCGGACACAATATCAACCAGCGGCTGCTGGATGACTGGTGGCTCTGGCGTCACCGGAGCAGCGACCTTGATGTACTTGGTCACTCCAGAGGGTGGGCTCTGTCCGACCTCATTGACCGCCGTCACGCGGAACATGTAGTCGACGTTTTGCTTCAGGCCCAGCACCTTGTGTGTCGTTTCTTTGATGGTCACGTTGACCTTCGTCCAGCTCAGCTCGGTGCGATCGTGGTATTCAAGAATGTAATTTGTGATTTCAGCGTTTCCGTCGGTTTCCGGCGCCCTCCAGTGCAGGGTGATGCTTTCATTTGTTGTCTCAATCACTTCCGGTGTGCCAGGTTGGCTTGGTGTCTCTGCAAGAAATTAATCCATTATATAAATTTTTTAAAAGTAATAATTGATAATTAGTTGTTGCCCAATCGAAAATTTAAATATTGTATTTTTTTAAACCATGATATTGATGTAAAGAAATAAATCCAATTTTTTTATACCATATATGGTACTATTTTTTGCTATTATATCAATATTGATATAATTGCCAAAATATTGATGTAATAACAATGGACCAATGGTATAATAAAGTTTAGATTGGTTCTATATATGTTCCTCATTTATAATATAAATTTAAAATAATATTTGAATTATTATACCATTGTGATATAATGACGAATTTTCAAAAATACCCAATAATATAAAGAATGAATAATTTTTGTTTCATAAATTCAATTTGAATTCATTTTTTAATTTAAATTAATTTTAAATATAATGATGTTGGTACTGTGGATAATTTATTAAAAATCAATTATTATGTCAACACGTTGATACAATAATACTATTAATTTATATCAATGTTGGTGCTATTATTGATATAATATATTTTTTCGACTGAGTGAAAGTTAAAGATTTAATAAAAATAAATAACTCACGCATTATTATCAGCTTCAGTTCAGCAGAAGCCTCGCCGCAGTTGTTTTTCAACTTCAGGGTCACGTCACCGCAGTCCTGTTCCTCAACATTTGTAATGGTGAGGCTAGCTGACGCTTCATCAATAGTTTGGGTGATCTAATTGGATATTAATATGGATATTAGACAAATTCTTGCTAGTGGTGGTGCCGTTTTGTCCAACAATTCCTTTCTTTTCAAATAAATTGTTTACAACAATTTAATTTAAACAATGTGATAACTGATAATATAATTAGGACAAATACAATAATAAGGAATTTTTAAGTTAAGTAAAAAATTTATACCCTTTTGGATGGCTTGATAACTTTTCCATTTATGGTCCACTCATACTGAGGCTGTGGAACGGCAGAGTATTTGATGTTTACACTGACAGACTCTCCCTTCCTGAGACGATACTCCTTCTGAACTTGGTCCAAATTGAGCTTGGGCGCGGATTCAATAACTAGAAATTTGAAATTAAAAATTTTAATAGCTCATTAATTTTTAAGTGTCATATAATTATATTTTCTTACTTTCAACTTTGAGCTTGGTGGAAGACTTGACGTTTGCTGCCACGCAAGTATATTCAGCCTGATCGTCCATGCTAACCTTCTTCATGATCATCTGTCTCAAACCTCCATCAGCAGTCAGTATGATTTTATCAGAAGCAGTCAGCGGCTTTCCATTCTTCAGCCAAGTGACTTCAATGCCGGGTTGCGACAGCTCCACAGTGAAAATAGCGTCCGTGTTCTGAGGGGTGAGAGTGACTTCTGGAAGTTTGGTGAGGAACTCCACAGCCGGCTCTTCGACTTTCAAGGTGGCCTTTGAAGTTTGTTCCCCAACCTGTTTTTATTTATTAATCAATTTCTTCCTTTTAATTACTATTTAATTGTTAAATACCTGGCAAGAATATTCGCCGGCATCTTCAGGCGTTGAGTTGTAAATCATCAAACGCTGTCTCTTGCCATCAATTGCCAGCTGAACGTGTTCGGAAAACTGCAGTTCATTTCCGTCCTTGAACCAACGCACCAGGGCATCGCCTTTGGTTAGTTCAATTTCAAAAGTGGCACGTTCTCCCTTTGCGATTGTCACGTTCTTCATCAGGCCGATGATCTCGGGTGGTAATTCTGTAGTAAATATTTTAATAGTAAAATTATAAATAATTCTGTGCAAAACTTTTCTAATTTCAAAAAATTTTAACTAACCGACAACGGTGACCTCAGCAGTGCACTCCAGTTCTCCGAGGGCACAGGTGTACTCGCCCTCATCGTGTACGGACACCGCCCTGATGAAAAGTTTGTGGGTCTTTCCAGTTTTCTCAAAGTCAAATCGATCGTCTCCCTCCTGCAGCTCTTCACCGTCCTTGTGCCAGGTGACCTTGGCACTTTCCGTGGAGACCTCGACCTCAAGGATGGCCGAGTCACGCTCCTTCACCTCAAAGTCAATCAGTTTGCGTAAAAATTCGGGTCCAGATTCTGATGAAAGTTGAATATCATTAATTTAATTCAAATTTAATTTGTTAAACTTGCCTTTCATTGTGATAGTTGCTTGAGTGGTCTCGTTGTTGACTGTGCACTTGTATGAGCCAATGTCTTCTCTTTCAATCTTTTTAATTACAAGGAAGTGCTTTTTGCCCTCTGATGTTAATTCATATTTAGTTGTGTTTGTGTCGCGATACAGCTCACGGTTCTCGAAGAACCACTTGGTGGTTGTTGCTTGGGACGTGTGGCACTCGAGTTTGACAACGCCGCCTTCTTCGACGTCGACGGACTCAAGTTTTTTGGTGAATTTTCTAATAAATTGTATTTTTTAAATATTATATAATGTGCATTACATTTCAAAGCTGCTTTAAAAATATATAACCTTTTGTTAAAAAAAACTTACATATCTGCGCCTGCGATTGAAACACGTGCTCCGTGTGAAGCTTTTCCAATCGAATTTGTGGCAACGCACATGTAATCTCCCTCCTCGGTACCATCAGTTCCGCAAGTGATTTCAAGGGCAATATTTTCTCCATCATAAGTTTCTTTGACATGTTTAGATGCCTTCAGCTTTTTGTTGTTTCTAATTTAATGATTACAAATTAAAAAATATAGCAGGAAAATTAAGCAAAAATCTTTTACCTGAACCATGCTATTTCTGGCTGAGGGTTGCCAGTGACTTTGGCTGCCAGTCGGATAACGCCATTTGGCGCTACTTTTTGTTCCTCAAATCTTTCAATGAATAGCGGAGGCTCAGGTTTGAGCTCAACGATTTCTGTTAAAGAATTTATAAATTAACATTATAGCTAAATACTTTATTTCTTTCCATTTGTTTTTTGAATACAAAACAATCTCTGCAACGAGGAAAAAGCCCGATTCATTCATTTACTTTCTCATACATTAAATTCTTTACTATAATTTCACTTCCAGGGCGTTATTTTGATTATTTTTTCTTGAATTTTTAAAAATATCAATGTCCTTACTCGACCCCTACGAATGCCTGCCTACTTGATTGGCCCATAAAGTCGACTCTAATTATTTTTAGAAGGAATGAAGAGCTGACACGAGGCTTTTTAAAAACCGCTATGACTTGCAATACTTACATTTGTTGGCTCCATTTTGGTAAATTCCTTAAAATAACTTTCACATGGCAATATTCAAACTGGTATTGACCAGTTTGTTTTAATGAAATTGTTTAAAAATTTGCTTCCGATCTAAATTTTTACTTTTTCTAACACAGCCATGCCCACGGCTGATGCGATCGAAAAAGAGGGCAGTCGCTAACTGAACATGGGTGCGAGAGATCCGAGCTGAGGTTGTGGCTAAATTTAAATGCTTGCGTCGTCTCTTGAGCGGCGGCGTCTTGTTTTTGCCACACGGCACGCATAACCATGAAATCCGAGCGCTTTCAAAATGAAACGCCGCCACCGACTACAAATAAGAATTTTTAGATTCGACTTCTACTTATAGATCGGCTAGAGCGATTGAAACTTTGGTTCCATGTATAAGCGCTGACGACCTCGTTTCAACCCTTCACCCGCACTAGCTGGTGCACTGAAATAGACGCGCGTTGCGGTTGTTTGCAGACAAAGTTTCTTCACGCCCCATTTATTATTGATTTGTTGGAGCTGATTAAAAGAGCTAAACCCCAATCTATATAAATAGTATGGAAAATTATGGGTCGCTCAAAACTTGAACGCCAAAAATAAAATAAAAAATTAGAACTTGTCTGAAATTTAACTTTTCTCAGTTTCATTGCTAATTAAGATTTTTCACATCATTATATTATTTCATGTGCAATGATATATTTATAATGATTATAATAGCCCTCGTATCTTAAGTAAAATTTCGTTGACTACAATGAATAAATAAATTCCAAGCTGAAAAAGAAATTTTACGGATTTATTATTGACATACCTTCAACAGAGAGGTATCCAGAAGTTTTGGCAGATCCAACCTCATTGTTTGCTGTCACTGTATACTCGCCAATGTCAGACTTCTGAGCGTGGTAAATAATCAGGGAATATGTGTCCTTCTCAACCTAAAAAATTTGAATTGTGTTAAAAAATGTAAACTCACTTAAATATAATTAACTACCTTCTCAGTTATATTTTTTCCGTCGGGCTTTACTTCTTTGCCCTCTCGCAACCAGACGATCTTCGCTGTTGGATTTGCAACAATCTGGGTTGACAAAATAACACTGTCGCCCTCGGTAATGCTGATGTTCTTAAGAGGCTCCAGCACTTGTGGTGGCTCTTTGGCCCCAGTTATCACCTTGAATTTTTGTTGCATAATAATTAGTATATTTAAAATTTCATTTCGTAAAATTGTTAATTAATTTTTCATTAAAAAATAAAAACGATTTCCAACCTTGATGCTGACTTGGTTGGATGCAGTTCCCTCCCTGTTTCGGGCGAGAATTTCATATGTTCCCTCGTGACATTTCTGCACATTGTTGATTTTGACCAGAGTCATGTAGCTGTGCATGTCGGAATCCATTGATATGATAACATTGCTGCTCTCGGATAACTCTTTTCCATTGAAAGACCAAATCAGCTCCGGCTCGGGCACAGCCACCAGGCGACACTCGAGCTCCACTGAGGAGCCCTCGTCGACCGTGCGTGTGCGTGGCTTGTGCGAAAAGGTCGGTGGAATTCCCTCCAGAATATCAGCCAAAGATGATTCCCTAAAATTTTAATATTTTTTTAAATAAAATCAATTAATGAAATTAATTTAATTTATGTAATTCCTATCAATTTAAAAAAATTTAATTTATTCATTTTATTTTAAAAGGAAAGTTTTAAAACATTTTTTTTTTTTGCAAATTTTTTAACAAATATCAGCACAACGCAAAAAAATGAAAGATAATGTAAAAATGGTACAAATTAAATGTTTTCAAGTACATGAAAATTCATATAAACTTTTCAATTGTGTTGTTTCAGTAACGTTACCTAGAAAGGCTTCTTCTTGAATGACCAACGTTGACTTCAGAGCCGTGATCAGAAAGCGGCGCCTCCACGAACAGCTCGGTGGTACTGGATGCAAAGCCAGCAGCGTTCTTAGCAACACAGGTAAATGAGCCCGCATCCTCAGGGAACACTTCCTTAATTATCAAGGTAGCAACATTGTTGTCGTCATAGAAAATCTACATTTTTTGAATTGAAAACCTTGTTTTTTAATATATAAGTTTTTTATATTAACCTGGAAATCAGGTGAAGGCTTGATGATAGCAGTTTGCCTGAACCAAGTTATTAGAGGTCTAGGGCTGCCTTCCACCCTGCACTCAAACGTAATTGTGCCGCCGTCTTGTGAGTGTTGAGGTTTCAGCTTTTCAATGAATCTTGGAGCCAAAACAGGTTCGCCAGGAGATGGTTCTGTTTTATGTTTTTAGACAGTTATTATTTTTAATTAATTAGAATAAGACTTAATTGAATACATACTTTCAAAGACAGGCAACTTGTCAATCTTCTCGTGCAGTTTCTTCTGCATATACTCTGCGTACTTAGGCTCGTCTTTGAGCAATTGGGCAGGAGCCCAGCCCTTTTCCTCCGTTAGGTGTTTCTTTACGAACCACCAGTCAGAATTGTGACATTCTGAAGGCAGACTTTACGTTATTTCTGGCACATAATTATAAAAAGCGTAAACTTACCCATAATGTACACTCTCTCGCCCTCAACTAAATTGAGCGCCTCTTGATTTTCGGCTACATATGAACATATAGCATACATCTTGTCACCTTCATGGCACTGACTAACAACTATTTGTGACTCTTCTAAACGCAAACAAGGACAAATACATACATTACAAATGGTATATATTTACAGATTTTTGTGGACAGTAGGGGTAGACTGGACATTAATCTTCATCTGCAGTAATTGTGCCAAAATATTATGAAATATGAGAAATGAACACTGACAATGAAATGAATTTGAAAACATTTATGCAAGAATTGGATGCTGAACATGAATCATTCAATGAATTTTTTGCAGATAAAATCATTCCCTTTCCATCGGCGCTTTATTTTGTTTTTTTGCTCAAAAGGAACATAAAAATTTGAGCTTTTGATTAACATACGGACAAATTTATAATTTTTCTTACCTGTATCCACTGACAGCTGAATACTTGCACTTGCATCCTCTGTAAATGACAATACATTTTTTAGACGATTGTTTAAAAAAATTAATAGACTGAAATGTTAATTTTTCAACGACACAAATATGTACAAAGACAAATACACAAATTACATCACAGGGGTTGGTTTATTTATTTATATTGTGCAGTGGATAATTTTTCTTTGAATGTTTTCTCACGTCATGATGGAGATGTGTGACACTTTGAGTTTGGCATGGAAGAAAAATTCATAATGTTTATTTCTGGATTTAAACAGCACTTCTAATGCATTTTTTTGGTGCAATTCAGTGCTGCATTTTCATTACCTTATTTATAAAAAAAATTAATAAAAAATAATAATAATTAGAATTGGAAAATACAAATGGCTGAGCCTTTGATCTTAGATTTAAAAAAAAATCCGCAACTCGTCCATGGAGTTTTGCGGGGAAGCCATGCTGTAATAGAAAGCGGCTAGAATTATGAAATTCGTCATAATAACCTTCGAAATTTGTTGATACGTGCTCTTTTCTTTTGATTTTCAATTTTAGTGAATCTTCTCCATAATCGACTTCCTGCTTTATTTGTTTCTTAAAACCAACCTTGACCTCATCCTCGATTTCCTCTACATTGTAGGCTGGTTTTTTAGCAGGCTTTCTTTTCAATTGCATTTGCACATCTTGTCGGCCTTCTTCGTGGATGGAATACTCTTCCTCAACCTCTTCGACCTCTGGTTCGACGTCAACTTCATGGCGAATTGTGACAGTGCTCTCGCCCGCCTCCTCAACAAATGTTGTTTGCTGCTTGCGAGGCAGGGTGACCTTCCTAGATAGGTTTATGTCTTCATCCTCATAAACGTTAGATTTGATGGTGAATTCCTGCTCAATGTCTTGTTTTGCGAAGACCTTTTTAGGCTTCAAAATAACGTTTTCAGAAATTGGCACCTCCTCTGGAGCTTGTGCTGGTTTAGACAGGGTGAACTCGTGTTCTGATTCTTCTACGACCTTTTTCTTACTTGGGCGGCATTTGAGCGCAACCACCTCCTCTGTCTGGGGCTCATCAACCACTTGTTTTTTAACCACGGTTATTTCTTCGTGAGCCTCCTCCACAACTTTCTCTTTGGGCTTGCTCTTCAAAGAAACTGTTTCAGAGGAACTCTCAGTTATTGTCTCTTTTTGTTTGGAAATTGTTACAGTTTCAGCCTGTTCCTCTGGTGCAACTTTTGGTGCTGGTTTCTTTTTCTTCAAAGACACGGTTTCAGAGCTGGGCTCATCAACCACTTGTTTTTTAATCACGGTTATTTCTTCGTGAGCTTCCTCCACAACTTTCTCTTTGGGCTTGCTCTTCAAAGAAACTGTTTCAGAGGAACTCTTAGTTATTGTCTCTTTTTGTTTGGAAATTGTTACAGTTTCAGCCTGTTCCTCTGGTGCAACTTTTGGTGCTGGTTTCTTTTTCTTCAAAGACACGGTTTCAGAGCTGGGCTCATCAACCACTTGTTTTTTAACCACGGTTATTTCTTCGTGAGCCTCCTCCACAACTTTCTCTTTGGGCTTGCTCTTCAAAGAAACTGTTTCAGGGGAACTCTCAGTTATTGTCTCTTTTTGTTTGGAAATTGTAACAGTTTCAGCCTGTTCCTCTGGTGCAACTTTTGGTGCTGGTTTCTTTTTCTTCAGAGACACGGTTTCAGAGCTGGGCTCCTCTATAATTTTTGGCTTGGCAATTAAAATTTCAGCTGCAGCTTCCTCCACTGTTGGTTCCGGTGCCTTTTTCATTGGAAGTGTTGCAGAGGTGGCAGTTTCCTCAACAGGTTTCTTTTTAACCAATGTTACAGCCTCCGATTCTTCGGATACTTCAACAACAGGCTTTTTCTTCTTCGGCTTTAAAGTGACACTTTCAGCGGGCTGTTCCTCCACTGGCTTTGGTTTTACAATAGAAATCTCTGCAGCTGCCTCTTCAACAATGCTTTCTTTCTTGACAGTTAACGCGACCACATCTTCAACTGATTCTTTTGCCTTTGGTATAGTGACCGACTCAATAATTGGCTCTGCAGGCTTTTTCTTTTTCTGAATTTTAACTTGGCTTTCAGCCTCCTTGATATGAGGGGGTTCTTGTGCAGTGACCATTTCATTCACTGGCTCAATTGAAATTTCCTTCGCATGCACGTCTTCGTGCTCGGGAATTCGAATGTCAACAACCTGCTTGCTATCTACGTCACTTTTATTTTCAACAGCCAGCATCTGCAGCTGCTCAATGTGAGAAGAAGGTTGAAGTAACTCTTCCTCATTCAGCATGACGGCCTCTTCAGCAGGTACTGCGGAAATTGATATAGGCTCGGTGCTTTCCAATGGAGCCTTTTCTTCTCCTTCTTCATGAGATTTGACCTCTACAATTTGCTCCACAATTTCAATCTTTTCCACAGGTTTTTCTATATGTGTGACAATTTCTACTGTTGCCTCTTCGGCAGCTTCTTCAACTCGCGGCTTTTGTTTTTTAGTGATTTTGATTTTTTTGCTCAAATCTACTTCCTCCTCCTCATAAGATTTTGATTTTAATGAGAATTCCTGTTCTACTTCTTCCTGCACTACTTTCTTCTTCGGTCTCAAAGAAAAGGTTCCAACAGAAACTTCTTCTTCAATTTCAGGCAACTCTTTCTTGATCAAAGCTTCTTCTAGCACTTTTTTAGATTTTTCAACTGGCTCTTCAATTATTGACTTCTCCAAGGGCTCCTGTACAGGCTTCTCAGGCTTTTCAGTTAGCGTTTCTTTGGGAATTTTCACAGTTTTTTCGTCGGGCTTTTCAATTGGCTTTTCTTGTACACTTATGTCCCTCTCTGGTTCCTTATTTTGTTTTTTCTTCGGTTTTTTATTTTTATTTTCTTCCTTGATATCTATTGAAGGTTCTGGTGTTGGTGCAACTAAAACTGTTAATGGTGTTTCAGAAGCCATTTTCAAAGCGTCGGACACCTCACCTGCAGATGGAACTTCGGTTTTAACAGTTGCAATTGCGTCAGAGGAAATTATCTCCGTCACTTGAGATAGAGGTTGATCCTCTACAACAGCCACAGGTTTCACTTCTGAAACTGCTTCAGGCTCTATCGGCTTTACCGTGCTTTCTTCTTGCACAGAATCGGACGGAACTTTTTCAGTTGCATTGGTTTTTTTCTTTTTCTTAGATTTTTCAATTTCAGGAAGTTTGAGCTCACTATGAACTTCTGGTTCCTTTTCTGGTGCAGGCTCACGCTCAACCTCTTTAGTCCAAGGCTTCAATTCAACCTTTTCTTCAGGTTCTGGCATCTTTGGCCGTTGTTTGTAAGTCAGATTTATGGCATCAGGCTCATCTTCCTCTTTTGGTTTTGGTTTTCCTTTTAGTATTGTGATTGTTTCCTCAGGAACTTCGGGAACAGAATGCTGAGGTCTTATATATTCGCCTCTCTCAGGAACAGGAATTTCCGTTTCTTCAGTTTCTGGCTTTTTAAGTTTTTCTCTCTTTTTCTTCTGCTTTTCGGGCTTTTCGAATTCAATGGGTGTGGGCACCAAGACGTCACTGGATGATTCTGGAGTAAAACGAATATCATCAAGAGGCTTCATTTCTTGGGGTTTTACAGTTTCATCCTCTCTTGGTACCTCCCGCTCTGTTCTTTGCACAGGCTTCAACTTAACTTGTTCTGTCTCTTCCTCTGCTTTGGGTTTTTGAGGTTTTGTTTTCAATTTTACTTCAACCTCTTCAGTCTCCTCTTTTTTGAGTTTTCCCTTACCTAGAACAATAGTTCTCTCTGTTTGATCCTCCTCGACTTTTTTTACCGATTCAATCTTTTTCTTTTTCACCACTTTTGTCTCGTCAATGTGTTTTTCGTACTTTTCCAGAGATGGCCTTTCATACTCCATAGTTTCAAGGTCAAGGACTTCGTCGCTGATGGTGACTTTCTTAACTTTCTTTGGTTTAATTTTAGCAGCCTCGTCAGCATTTCTAGAGATTATGCCTTGCTGAAGAACTGGTGTTTCCAGTTGTGTTATTTGTGGCTTTTTTTCCTCAGGAGGGTATGTCATGAGCGTTTGAACTCCTTTCAACCGTACGTCAGGTAGTTGTGCTGATTCGATTTCTCGTTGTACAATTTCAGCTTTCTTTAGTTTTATCTGCATAAATGCTGGAACTTCTTCTACGCTTATGACTTCAACTTTCTTGGGTGTGATTTGAACTCTTTCGATCTTCATCTTTTCAAACTTTGGTTTAGGTTCAGTTGGTTTTGGGGTTTCTTCCTTTTTCATTTGCGGCTTATCAGTCTCTTTCATCTGTGGCTTTTCAGTCTGTTTCAACTGTGGCTTTTCTTTTTCTTTACGCTGCCGCTTCAGTGTCAGATTTTTTTCTTCCACTTTGACTTCCTCTATCTGAACAATTGGGAGCGGCTCCTCTACGGGCTCAATTTTCACTGTCTGCTCCAAAGGTTTTAATTGAAGTATCTCTGGTTCGGGAGCTGTTTCTTCTGTGATAATCGGTGCGTTTTCTTCCACAAGTGTTATTTGTTGTTCAGTTAAAGTTTCATCTGGAAATATGAGTTTTATATTGATTAGATTAATCTATTATAAAAAAAAACACGTGAATATGGAAAATGAAGGTTAAAAACAAAAAGCGTTTTAATTTTTGCTTTGCCATGTTACCTGGCTGATTCTCTTCATCACTTGTTATTTCTGTAATTTCTACTAACGGCTGTTCAATTTTTATTGGAACATTGAACATCACGTGATCGTGGCGTTTTTGAGCCTGAATTCTGACCAATTCCTGTTTCTCCTCCAAAATGAATGTGCCGAATTGTGGTTTAGCTATTTCATGCAGTATTTCTTGCACCGATTCAGTGGTTTCAGAGGAGGTTGCAATTTGCTCCGAATTTAAATTTTGTGTTTTTAATTTTGGTGTTTCTTCTGTAATGAATGGCATGTAAAGACAATATATACTTATGCGTGTTTTACCTCTTGGTGCTGTCTGGTCAGACTGTAAAATTTCTTCTGAAGAAAAGAATTCTTCCTCTGAAGGTATGTCCTCATAAACTGAAACGTCTCTTGATACCTCTGAACTATTTGAAGGTGATTTTTCTGTGGATGAATTTTCTATGTAAAGTCTATATTCTAAACTGAAGCCTGGATAAAATTTAAATACATGTGTTATATTTTGTATGAAGTGGAACCTTTATATTTTATGTTCTTGTATGTCAAATGGCGTGTTTTTGAATGGAAACTTAAATTTTTGTAGAGTTCATTATTGGAAAATTTTTCTAATTTATTTAAAAGATTCACAATTTTTATTTTCATTTAATATCTCCTAACCTCATTACTAAATGGAAAATATTACCTGTGTTCAATGTGTTTGATGTAGCTGCCACCCCTTTTATAAAGTATATTTGTCCTGGTATATCTGTACTAGTGTTTGATGTCACTTTTTCTGTTGTAATGGTTGTTTCAATTGGTAATGCTAAGTTCGTGGCACTAGCCTTTTCTTGATCGACGGCCTCTTGTGTATTGTAGATCTTAGTGCTATGTGTGAGATTTGTTTCAAAGCTGTCAAGAATTTCAATGTTTGGCAATATTGTCACTTCATATCGTGCTTGCTTGTCAAAAACCTCTAATTCAGACTTCCCTGTCGTGCCTGAAATTTCTTTTTCAGTGACTTCATCAGGCTGATCTTCAATAATTGCATGAATTTTAACGTTTAGTGCCTCTTTTATTTTTTCTTTAGGTCGTTCTTTCACAGAAGTTGCCTGCTGAGTCTTCAATGTTATTACTTCCAGCGCTTGTGGCTTTTCGTCAGAAATATCTAAACTGGTTGTGTCTTGTATGTCCAAAGATCTTAGCACAGTGACTTCGGTGGCTGCAACATCAGCTATGGTTTGGCTTTGAAGATTGATAACCTCATGAATTTTTGGCTTTGATTGTTTCATTACAGATTTTTTGTGACCTGTTTTCTCTTCCTCGGTTGTCAATGGCACTTCTTCCATATCTGGTGTTTTGCTCTCTGGCCGTTTCACCGCTGTCAGTTGTTGGTCTGAAATTTCCAAGCTGGTTGTTTCTGGCAAGTTAACAGTTTCCGGCTCAGCGACTTGATCAGCAGCAATTAATTGGCTTTCAATGGGGACAACCTCTTGTATATTTGGTTTTGATTTTTTCTTTGGGATTTTTTTCTGATCTAGTTTTTCTCTCTTGGTTGTCAATTGCACTTTTTCAAAAACTTGCGTCTGGCTCTCTGGAAGTTGCACTACCGCTTGCGGTTGATCGTCTGACATTTCCAAGCTGGTTGTTTCTGGCAGTTCCACAGTCTTTGGCTCAATTGCTTCACCGGCATTAAAAGTATCAATTGATTGGTTTTCAATGGTGACAACCTTTTGATTATTTTGTATTGTTTTCTTCGGTACAGATTTTTTCTGATCTGCTTTCTCTTCCTGGGTTGTCAATGGCTCCTCTTCTATATTTTTCGTTTGACTCTCTGGAAATTGCACTACCGCTTGCGGTAGTTCGTCTGACAATTCCGAGCTGATTATTTTTGGCAATTCCACTGTTTTTAACTCAATTACTTCGCCGGCAGTTACATTTTCAATTGATTGATTTCCAATGGTGACAACCTCCTTCATTTTTTGTTTTGTTTTTTTCAGTACTGTTTTTTTCTGACCTGGTTTCTTTTCCTGGGTTGTCAATGACACTTCTTCAATATCTAGCATTTGACTCTCTGGAAGTTTCACCGCTTGCGGTTGTTCGTCTGACATTTCTAAGCTAGTTGTTTCTGGGAGGTCTAGAGTATTTGGCTCAATTACTTCAGTGGCATTAAAACTGTCAATTGATTGGTTTTCAATAATGATATCCGTTTGTAGATTTTGTTTTGATTTTTCCTTCAAAGATTTTATCTGATCGGGTTTCTCTTCCTGGGTTGTCAATGGCACTTCTTCAATATCTAGCGTTTGATTCTCTGGAAGTTGCACCACCGGTTGCGGTTGTAGGTCTGACATTTCCAAGCTAGTTGTTCCTAGCAAGTCCACTATTTTTTGTTCAATTACTTCACTGGCAGTAACATTATCAATGGATTGGTTTTCAATTTTGACAACGTCTTGTATTTTTTCTTTTGTTTGTTTCAGGACTGTTTTTTTCTGATTTGGTTTCTTTTCCTGGGTTGTCAATGGCACTACCTCCATATCTTGCGTTTTGCTCTCTGGAAGTTGCACAACCGCTTGCGGTTGTTCGTCTGACATTTCTAAGCTGGTTGCGTCTGGCAATTCCACAGTCTTTGGCTCAATTACTTCATTGGCATTAAAACTGTCAATTAATTGGTTTTCAATGGTGACATCCGTTTGTAGATTTCGTTTTGATTTTTCCTTCAAAGATTTTATCTGATCTGGTTTTTCATCCTGGGTTGTCAATGACACTTCTTCATTATCTAGCGTTTGACTCTCTGGAATTTTTACCGCTTGCGGTTGTTCAGCTGACATTTCTAAGCTAGATGTTTCTGGGAGGTCCAGAGCATTTGGCTCAATTACTTCACCGGCAGTAGCACCATCAATAAATTGGTTTTTAATGGTGACAACCTCTTGTCTCTTTTGTTTTAATTTTTTCTTTAAAGATATTTTCTGATCTGGTTGCTCTTCCTGGGTTGTCAATGGCTCCTCTTCTATATCTTTCGTTTGACTCTCTAGCAGTTGCACTGCATGCAGTTGTTCGTCTGACATTTCCAAGCTGATTGTTTTTGGCACGTCCACTGTTTTTAACTCAATTACTTCGCCGGCAGTAACATTGTCAATTGATTGGTTTTCAATGGTGACAACCTTTTGTATTTCTTGTTTTGTTTTTTTCAGGATTGTTTTTTTCTGATCTGGTTTCTTTCCCTGGGTTGTCAATGGCACTACCTCCATATCTTGCGTTTGGCTCTCTGGAAGTTGCACTACCGCTGGCGGTTGTTCGTCTGACATTTCTAAGCTGGTTGTTTCTGGCAATTCCACAGTCCTTGGCTCAAATGCTACAGTGGTATTAAAACTGTCAATTGATTGGTTTTCAATGGTGACATCCGTTTGTAGATTTTGTTTTGATTTTTCCTTCAAAGATTTTTTCTGACCGGGTTTCTCTTTCTGGGTTATCAATGACACTTCTTCAATATCTAGCGTTTGACTCTTTGGAAGTTTCACCTCTTGCGGTTGTTCGTCTGACATTTCTGGGAGGTCTACAGTATTTGGCTCAATTACTTCACCGGCAGAAGCACCATCGATTAATTGGTTTTCAATGGTGCCAACCTCTTGTCTTTTTTGATTTGATTTTTTCTTTAAAGATTTTTTTTTATCTGGTTTCGCTTCCTGGGTTGTCAATGGCACTTCTTCAATATCTAGCGTTTGACTCTCTGGAAGTTGCACCACCGGTTGCGGTTGTTCAACCGACATTTTTAAGCTAGTTGTTTCTAGCAAGTCCACTGTTTTTAGTTCAATTACTTCACCGGCTGCTACAATTAATTGGTTTTCAATGGGGGCGCGCTCTTGTATTGTTTGTTTTGATCGTTTCTTTAACGATTTTATCTGATCTGCTTTCTCTTCCTGGGTTGTCAATGACACTTCTTCAATATCTAGCGTTTGACTCTCTGGAAGTTGCACCACCGGTTGCGGTTGTTCAACCGACATTTTTAAGCTAGTTGTTTCTGGCAAGTCCACTGTTTTTAGTTCAATTACTTCACCGGCTGCTACAAATAATTGGTTTTCAATGGGGGCGAGCTCTTGTATTGTTTGTTTTGATCGTTTCTTTAAAGATTTTATCTGATCTGCTTTCTCTTCCTGGGTTGTCAATGACACTTCTTCAATATCTTGCGCTTGATTCTCTGCAAGTTTTTCTTTGGGTCGCTCTGTCAATGTTTTTCTTAGAAAATGTTGCTCTTTTTGAACGTGTGGATTTTCACATGCAGTTGGCGTTTGGTTTTCTGGTCGTTGTCTTGCTTGTAGCTGTTGGTCTGTAAATAGTGTACTGGCTACTTCTTGCTTGTCTAATAATTTTTGCACAGTCATATCACGTTTTTCCTTTTCGGATATCAATGTCGCAGTTACATCCATGTATGTCCCTTCTCTCGGTTCTTCTACTGGTAGAAATGGTAGAATAATCTCCTCCTTCTCTGCCTCCATTAATTCTATCATCTCTCCTGAAATTTTCTTAAGAGCAGGCTTGATAGGTACGTCTAGTGATGTAGATTGTAAGGCTGTTTTCTTTGACCACATCTCTACCGTACCAATCTGGAATGGTATTGTCTCGACAATTGCATTTTTTTGAAAAACTCTTGGTATCAAAGCATTTGCAAGTTCTTCATATTCGAGATGAAAGAATTTTTCAATAGCAATAGCCAGCTCAAAGCAAATAAAAGCCCTTTGAGTCAACCGTTCTGGAGCTAACAGATCGTCTAAGTATTCGTGCGTCTCGATTAGCTCCTGAACAATTGGAAAATAGTTCTTCTTTGGCAAATGTAAATTTGTGTGCTGAATTTCTGCAGAAGGAAGTATTTCATCTTTCCAGAGATCATAGATTATTTGCTCAGTTGTTTCAACTGAAAATTTTTCTTTCAACACTTCGTTGCATTTTGCCACTACGAAATAAATTTCTTCTCTGAGGTCCGAGCTTTCTATTGTGCATTCGGTTAACTGATCAAAAGTAGCTTCAGATAGCACGATTTCAATTTCCTTGCGACATTGGTTCTGCAAATCGACAGCCTCATATGATATTTCATCTGTGAAATCCGTGTGTAAATATTTGTCTTTCTGTTTGCTCTCGGTTTGTTTCTTATCCTTGCTTACTTCAAGGTTTAATTCAGATTGACGATCTATGGAGATTTTTTCACTACCTTCCTGTTCTTTGGTTGTGTTTCGTATTTTAGTACTTAATGTTTGTGGTTCTGTTTGTATTTGAGGTGTATTGATTCTTGTTTCATGAATGGTACAGCTTGGACCTATTAATGGTGTTTGTGAGACATCTTGTCCATGGGACGATTCAATTGATTTTGTTTCATGTAGTTGTTCGTTACATGCTGTATTTGTTTCCAGACTAAATTTAGTTGTGTTTTCTATTGTGATCGGTTGCGTAGGGGCACCAATTGCTGTGTTTTCGGTTGCGTGTTTGACAACAAATGTGACTGTTTCTTGTGGTTCTGCTTGCATTTGTGTTTGAATTATTGTCTGGGAAGTGTGTTGGTGTGATACAGTACCTGTTTTTGCTCTCTGTTCTTTTGCTTCGGGTATGCTGAAAGGAACCTCATCTCCTTGCGGCACTACATGATGAATGGCGACTTGTTGGTGGGGCAGAATTTGCACTTCAGCGTTGCCAATTTGTTTAATTTCTTCAGTCAACTCGGTGGCTTTTGACAAAACATGTGGCTCAGTTGACTCGGCAGCATAAGTGCATGTTATTGATTTTCTGGCTATAATATTTTTAGGAATTTCCTCCACTTCTCTTACTTTAGTATTCTCGTCAACATTCACTTGCAAAACACTAACTGCAGAAGTTTCAAGTAGAACCAACGTTGCTTTAGATGGCTTATCACCTTCTAAATTCTCTATTGATGGCATAACTGTTTCTTCTGCAATTTGAGGTGCGGTTAACGTTGATTGCATGGAGCCAAAGGCTGCTGCTAAATGTTCAATGGGCGTGATCATTTCAATCACATCTTGATTTGTACTTATCTCCTGTGTTTCTGCCACCGGCAGTGTTTTCATCTCTTCTGTGCATTTGTATTCTGCAGGAAGTAATTCATGCAATGGAGTTAAACCTCTCTCTGCATTGATTTCAATACAGGTTAATGATGTACGTTTATCCACTGCGGTTGAAGCGTGAGATGCAATTGGTGCTCTTTGATCATTTAGCGAGTCTTCTCTTTCATTGAAACCAATCTGAAAGGTTTGTAGTTCATTGAAGCTAGTAACTGTGACACTACCATGCTCTTGAGTAGCTTGGAAGGGCTTGATTGTACCAGGAAAGTTGTCAAAATCTGTGGTAGTAAGAACAGGGGCAATTTTGCAATCAGTCGTCTTTATTTTGCAATCTTCGGTTATTACTGCTCTGCCTTTGAATTCTTCTTCATGTTCGTGCACTTCCAAGGAAGAGACGCTTGCTGCAATTTGTGTTTCAATTGAACTTAATCCATGCCTTGGTTTCTCTTTTTCAGTATTCTCTAAATTTTTGAAATGTCCTTCCGCTTTAGTTTCTGTAGTTGTTGCAAGTTGTAGAACTTTTTCATATTCAATATTTGGTTTTTTTGTTTCCTTTTCAAAAGGTTTCAACTGAGCCTCCTTTTGTCCTACTCTGACCATCGATTTAATTGCCGCCGAATGTGTGAGTTCTGAAATGGCTGGTGAGGCACGCATGTTCTTGTTTTCAACATTTTCTAACTGGGATATTGATGCCAGCGCAACGTCCTCACTGCACAAGGGCGAGATGATTGCATCTGTTGCCAACACATTTGCAACTCCTTCCTCCCGACCTTTCTCGTGAAGTAACTTGATTGTCTCCAGAACTTCAGGAATATCGTTTATTGTACTTGGCAACCCAGTCATTTTTTCTTTAGCAACAGCAGAGTCGTCTCTCTTATGAATTAATTCAGCCGTTGTTGTGCTTTCTTGGACTACCATTTTATTTGGCAGTTGCAAAATGTTTGCGTCAAGAACTAAAGTAACACTCTTAGCTTTTAAAGAGTCTTTGACAGTGCAAATATTTTCCATCTCAGCAGAAACAACTTCATCGACGGTGGCATGGATGAATTCTCTTGTGCTCTCTCCAGCTGATTGTAAGAGTGAACTTCCAAGGTCAGCGAAAGGTCTTACATCGTCAAGAACAATTTGCTCTTCACACTGTTTCTCAGGATGCCCGTGGATGAATTCTTGCTTAGCCTTCTCTTCTGTTTGCAAGTGCTCGATAATATTTGCAGTTGCTTCCACGCAAACAATTTCTTCATTAACACTTGTCTGCAATGCTTCAGTTCTAGCACTTTGTGAAAATGTTATAGATGGTTGAACTTGGCTTTGAAAGTATTCTGGCTGTTCGAGGGTGTCAACTATTGTCACAACAGATTTTTTCTTGAGTTCCGTAAATGTTGTTGAAACAACTTCTTCTTTCAAACTCTGTCTCTGTGGTAAATTTGCCTCTTTTTCGTCTGAAGCTATATCGGTAATGACGGCTGAAATTCTGAATTTTGTGAGGCTCTCGGTTGCCTTTTTCCCCTCCTTCTCGGTTTGTACTAAATTAGAAGTTTGTTCTAACACATTTTGCTCGCTAATTTGTTTCAAGGGCGTCTGTGGAATAATATCTTGTTTAGCAGTGTCTTGATATTGTTGAGCTGCTTGAAATTCCTGCGATTGCTCAACACAATGTATTTCTTCTTGCATTATAGTGGATAAGGCATCATCTGGCACGGATTTTGGAGAAATGTGTTCTTTTTTAATCTCCCCTATAAAATATTCAGGTTGTTCAAGCGTTTCCGTAATGGAAACCACTGTTTTTTTACGGCCATCAGTGAAGCTCTGTGTTCCTGTCTCCAGTTTACAGTCGTAGCCTTTTTGAAAATCTTCAACTCCATCACTGACAATGTTTTCGGCCACAATTGCAAGACTTCTTGCGTTTGAAAAACTTTCACTTGCATTCTGTACCTCTTGCACCGTTGGTTGGATAGTATTTATTTGATCAAATGTTATTTGCTCCTCCACTTGAACTTGCGATCTAGGTTTTGTGAATTCGGACTTCGCATTTCCAGTTGCAGGTTTTTGCGTGCTTAATGCAATTGGCTGTTCAATTGTACGAGTTTCTTGGTTCATGGATGCAAAATATGCTCCTTCGGATGTAATAGTTGGGATGAATTTTTCAGGCTCCTGTCTGCTTTCGAAATATACCGGTTGATCCAATGTGTTCACTATAGAAACAACCGGATTTGTCTGCAGTGCTGAAATTGCCTCCGTTCCTTTTTCAGTTTTAAAACTAGGCATTTCTGAAAAGGATGATTCTTTTTCCTCTGCAAAATTTTCAGTTACTACTGCAGTTGCGCATGTCTTGGACATCGCTTCGCTTGCTAATTGTAATTTTTGGGCTGGTTCATTAAAAGGCTGTAGCTGTTCAAGCACGATTTGCTCCTCGATGTTTTTCTCTGATAGTGCTGGAACCAAATCAGACCTTGCAATCTCATTACCGTGATAAGGAAGAGTTAAGTTTTCCAACCGTTCCATAATCTGGGGCTCCTCTCGTATGCTAGTTTGTAATGTGTCTTCTGATACTAATGCTGAGCGATATGAGTTGAATTTTGCTTTGTCTTTGAACATTTCCGCTTGCTCAAGTGTATCCACCACTTCGGTGACGTTCATTTTCATTAAAGGTGTCATTAGCACAACACCTTTCTTCTCACTTTGATTTTCCTGTTCTATAGCTGCTTCTTTTTCCTCAATTATATTTTCAATTACTGTTGCAACTCCAACTGGCCTGGAAATCGTCTCGTTTGCTCTTTTCTTTTCGACCTCCGGAGAAATTGATCTGCTTTTGGCTTCTTCCTGAACATCAATCTGAGACGTTAATATGCTTATTTTGTCTGAGATACACACATCAGCATTTTTCAGCTGCATAGAATATTCTGAAGCTAGGTCATCAACATTGTCCGCTATAGTCGTTTGATGGGTAATTGCAGTGGCATGTATTGGAGCAAGGGTATTTTCAGCTCTACCAAAAACTGGTGCCATTTCTTGTTTTAAAGTTATTTCACTCTCATGTACAACTGGCTCTTCACTAATGGTGGCAGATTTTTCTTGGACGCTTGGAGTGGCTTGTTTAATGAACTTCTCAGGCTCCTCTAAATTTTTTTCAGTCTCATGTACTTGCAAATCGGTCGTTGAATACGTGCTTTGCGGAATGAGGGAAATTTGTGCAGCTTCTACGTGTACCGCTGCCCTTTCGAATTCATGCATACCCTCAACAATTGTGTGTTCTTCAATAAATTTACTTTCCAGTGGAAATTGAGCTAGAGTCGCTTTTGAAAATGTGGTGGCTTCTAAAACGTTCTTTTCAACATCTTCAGCTAGAATCGTTTCTTGTTTTATGCCAATTTGAAATAATATTTCGGCGGTGGACAGTGCAGATTGCTCGCAAGGTTTCACACTAGGAATTATGTTATCAACCGTTTCCCCAGGGTGAATACTTTTTGTTTCTGATGCAATTCTTGCGCCCTCAAAACTTTGTTTTGGTTTCTCCAATAAGGCTTGTCCTTCAGAAACTAAGTCACTAACACCAAGTGATGGTAAGGTAGATTGAGTTATAGCAACTTGAAGTGTTTTTGGCTCTTTCGATGTGGCGAAAGCTGTGCTGAAAGAACTTTCTTTTAGTGGCTTCAGATCAAAATCAAGAACTTGAATTGTCTCTCCGCAAATGCTATTTTGTAAAGTGACATTCCTACTTGCAACTGCCTGTGGTACACACTGCCTGGGTGCAAGTTCTCTTTCAGTATCTTGAATGATGATATCACCTATGGTACCAATTTGCAAGGCAGACACGGATTGAGTAACTGTGCCCTCAGGCTGCACTTGTTTTGCATATTGACCCTCTTTTTCCATTAGGAAAATATCAAATGCCTCCGAAGCTGACTGTGGACTGAACATTAATTTTGCTGTTTTACTTTCTGGTTCCAAAGTTTTAAAGTCTTTGCTGGAGTCATGCGTAATTATTGATGTTTGTGTTGGTGTAAAAGCTGGAATACTAACAGTTCTACCCATTGGCGTTGCTTGCTCAATGGGTTTGCTATCAAGAACTTCCTCCCTCTCACTAAGAGTATGTTCCATGACAACTAAACCACTTTTGTTTCCTTCATATTCTGTAGTTCCGTGTGTGCCTTTGGGAATTTGGAACTCTTTGAAAGTGCCCTCTTTTTCAGCAGGCTGTGTATAGCTTTTCTGTATAACATTTGCAAATGCAACAGACTGTTCAGCATACTCCGTAGGGACAAATCGTTCTGGGTAATATTTAGATGGCTTTTCTTCTGCGTAAACGTCTTGTACCATAACACTAGATGACTGTGGAAGTTGAACGTTAAGTTTAAATGTTGTTGGTGTTCCCTGCGCGGGCAAAGTTTGCTCTTTTTCGGCCTCAGTTATTTGCAAAATGTTGGTTGCCTCACTCAATTGAATATTTGTGGTAGCTTCAGAGGCTAAAGGAGCTTTTTGAATTGCCATTTGTTCCTCGGCGTGCTGTTCTGAAGGCTCGCTAACGATGACAGCATTAAGCTGTCTTTCATATTCAATTAAAGGCTGCATTTTAACTATGTTTTCATCAATCTTAACTATAGTTTCGTTTTGAATTATCATCTCCGTAACTGAAACTCCTGTCATTTCTGCAAGTTTCCAGTGAGCTTCACTCTGCTGTGGAAGTTTCTGAGCTGGTATCCCTTGAAGTGCATCATATATACTCTCAGATTGCACAGATATTGATTCAGCAGTCGTGACATTTTTGGAGGCCATAGTAATTTTTTGTTGCTGTAAGTTCACTTCGCTGACAGTTTCGTGAGGAGTGACAAACTCTTGAGAAGTAATTGGCAACACGTTCAATTTAGTTTGGGCTGATTGTGGTTGCTCTTTAATTATGTCGAACTTGCTAGTCTCCATTGTTGCTACTGACTCAATTGATTCGGCTGTTGTTTGGAGAGGCGCAAGTTGCACTTCATTGCCCTTAATTGCGGTCAGCCCTTCAGAGTGCTCTTGAGTTACTGTGAATTGTTGGCTAATAGCACTTGCTGTAGATAACTTTGGAGTGCCCTTTTCCTGATCAGTCAATTTTGCTTCCCAGTTGCAGAGCCGCGCAGTCTGCATTGTTTCAATTGACTCCTTGGGTGTAAGCGTAAGAGGAATTTTTTTAGCCAAATCCAAGTTTGATTTGTAATTTTTGGTCGCTTCATTCGTAAATACAACTTGTTGGCTGAGTGCATTTGCTGTTGACAGTTTATTGATTGCATTTCCTCTCTCTTCATGCACCACGTCAAGTTCGCAAGAAATTTGCTCAGGAACGCTTTCAATCCTCTGTGGAGTGCTCTGCTGTGCTGAAATCCTCTTTTCAATATCTTTATTTGTTGAATACGAACCAGCGTCTTCATTTGCAATTATGATGGCTTGAGTAATTGCATTTGCAGAAGTGTATAAGCTGCTTGCTTGGCCAATTTCTTTTGATGTGTCAATTTCACACGTTTGGGACTCTGGCATAGTTTCAATTTTATCCTGTGTCAGTTGAATAGCGGAAATTTTGTTTTCAATATCGTGATTTGATGTGTAAATTTCAGTTTCTTCGCTTAGCAAAACTTCTTGTTGCTGAAGAGAATTTGTAGTATCAAATTTACTTGTCGCTTTTTCCTCAATTTTCCTTTGGTCCAGTTCGCATGTCTGAATCTCCGGCGCAACCTCGCTTACATCCTTCGGTATGTGAAGAGATGAAATTTTTACACCGTTATCCAGTGTTTTGTGGTCGCCCGTCTGCTCAGTTGCTATTACCTCGCTTTGCTGTAACGCTGAAGCGGTGGACATAACTGAAGAGGCACTTTTTTTCTCTTCATACAAATTAATCTCGCAAGTTTGAGACGAAGAAATGGCTTCGTTAATTTCCTGCATGGATGATAATAATGGTGCTTTTACTTCGCCTTCTTTGCTGGATAAACAAAGTTCAGTTTGCTCAGTTGGAATTACGACCCCTTGGACGACCGAATTAACCAATGAAAGGTTCTGGTTAGCAGTAGTTAATTCTTTAGCAGTATTTATTTCGCAAGTCTGCTGGGTGGCGGTCACTTCTAAATTTTCATCAATCGTATATAGCGTTGATAATCTATGCTCTGGAAAAATATCAGTGCTTTGTTTCGTAACGTTTTCATGAGCCGTAACTTCTTGTTGCTGTAATGCAAATGCCAAAGAAGTAGATGGAATTGGAACGTCTGCAGGAGGTTTGGTGTCAATTTCGCAAGTTACTAATGAGGAGTTTACTTCCATTGAATCTATTGGCGTTTGCGTTGACAAAACTTGCTTGTGCAAATCCCTATTTGAGGAATAACTTCCCGACTGCTCGCTGGCAACGACTTGCTCCTGAAGGACGGCCGTTGTAGTCGAGAGTCTTCTTGTTGCAATAAGTTTCTCAGTTGAAGTATGAAATTCGGCACTTTGACTGATTGACAAGTTTTCAATTGATTCCGCTGAGGTTTGCAATAAAGCAATTTTTTCTTCTGTTTTTCTCTCCTTACTAAAATGGTCAGGGTTTTCCTGGGCTACAATTTCCTGCTGCTGAATAGCAGTTGCAGGTGATAATGTTGGTTGTACCACTGAAGGTTGATCAGCGATATCAAAATTGCTTGTTTCACAGATTGGAGTGCTTTCTATTAGCCGCTTAGTGCTCAAAAGCGCAGGCACCTTTTTCTCAATATCTTTGTTAGAGGTATAGTTGCCAGTAAACTCCTGTGGAGTGACTTCCTGAAGTTGCAGAGCACTGGTTGTATCAAATTTGCAAACTGCACTACCAATTTCTTGAGACACATCGAATTGAGTAGCGTGGGAAGATGAAACCGTGTTAATCATTTGGTTTGTTCTTTGAAGGGCTGGAAGCTTTTGCTCAATGTCTGCATTTGACTCGTATTTACCTGCCTCCTCAAATAAAATTTCCTCAAAGTCATTCTTTGAAAGTAGTGCTTCGACTACCATTTTTGTCGTTTTCTTTTTCATCTGCAAACCATCGCTTTCTTCACGAACAATGATGTCAATTTCTGCTTCATCTCTTTCTTTCTTGGGACTTTTCTTCGTCTTTTTAACCACGGTTCGTTTAGTGATGTCTTCCTCCTCGATTTCTTCGCTTCCTTTTCTACCTATGTTCTTGGTGGCTTTTGTGTCTATTGTATTTCGTTCTTCTGTCATTTCAGTGAATTTCATAGTTTCTATTGTGGGTTTTCCTTTAGTTTTGACCTGTGATTTTGTGGTGTCCACTAGTGCCAAAGTGTTGTCTGGCTCCTCTGTCGGTAGCTCTGTGATTGTAACGCCGGCCTCATCGTTTGATGTGTTTATTTTGATTTGTGTCAGAGATTTCTGGATGGTTTCTTCGTCAGTTTTTTCTGAAAAATGTTTTCGTTTTATTAACATATGTCATGTTTCAAAGTATTTTGTATTGTGTTACTGCATCTATCCTGTTAATGACAATATTTGCGACTAACGTGAAGCTAGGCATGTTTTTAAAGATAAAACTATACCAATTAATTGAAAGGACGGAAGCATTTTAGTTTTTCCACCCATTGTGTTGTTGTGATGGAAAGCATAAATGATATTGTTTATTTTCAGCCGCAACATTTTTCAGTATCTTATCTTATGTTCATGCGTGGCAGCAACATCAAAAAGAAAATTAGTATTGTACCTTCAACGTGTATTATCTGAATCTCAATGTGAAAATTCTAACTGATCGCTTAGTGTAGGAGCTGGAAGTGTTTTAATAGTAAGCGTCTCAGGCTTCTTCAATTATTATTATTGTTTTAGTAGAGAAGAATTTAAAATTAATAGATTAAGCTTCTAACTCCTCCTTTTAATTTTTCTGAAGCACAACGTAAAAAAGGCAGCATTTAAAATTTCAAACCTTCATTTTCCGCCACAATCCTTTTCTTTATCAGCCTTTTTCTTATTTCTGTAATGTGGAATGAAAGTTTAATATGTGCTCTGTTCTTTGTAGTCTATGTATTTTTATGTTAATAGCCAGTTTCTGTTAGCAAGAAGAAAGTTAAGTTTTCAAGGGTAGCAAATAAAATACACAGAGTGCAGGGAACTTTTTTATTAGATAAGAACACCATGCTTGCTACATTGTATTGCGCGTTAGTCGTAACATTTAACAAGCCTTTTTTAAATGTTTCATAACAATCGTATTATCACGTTAACGAAGGATATTTTTGCTAGTAAAAGGAACTTTTAAAGGATAATGCTTTTAATAAAAATTCCCAAGCTGAATAAAAAAAAAATGGAAGAAATCTCCTTATATGTTGAAATTACATCCCGTTTTGGTGGCTCTAGTTCTTCAAGTTAATAAAATCTTTTAATCTAGTAATGTTAGATATTTATTCAATTTAAGAAATGAGTGGTTGGATAATACGTGCTTTTTTACATTTCTGTAAAAAAAATAACACAAAAATATTTTCAGCATCACAATTTGGCTTTTCATTAGCCATACCTCGAAACTAAATTTTTTTAGAGGTAAACTTTTACATATGCAAAATCCTCATTATGCACTTAAAAAATTTATTAAGACAGTAGCAACTGTTTATTAAATAAGCCATACACACAATTCTCTGCAACTAATGTAAAGCAAAGGTAAAGAGGAACAAAAAGCTTACCATGCATATTGTTTTATCTGAATGTTATTATGCAGTGTTTTTTTATATGCTAATAACACTGAAACTAACATACATATATTTGATACATAAATATGTACAAAGGTAGTAGTTGGCTATCCTCTGATATATAGATTAGTAATTACATATTTCCTATAATTAACAATTATTATTAGACTAGGCACATTCAATACAATTTTTTACAACTACAAAAATTATATTCGTAGACGAAGCATTAAAAAAATAATAAAGCGTTTAGGGGCTGCATGAATAGTAATCTTCATGCAGACTGCTGCAGTCTGAATAACTGTCAAGGTCGTCGTCATTCTCACCTTTTACATCGGCCGATGAGCCAACGGCGGTTCCATACTCTACATTGTATGCACCCTGTTGGGCATGCTCTGTCCGTTCCTGCAATTATATTAATTATAATTTGAAAAACTATATCATAGAAAAACGCATTTGGGACTGTTCATAAATGATTTAAGTTGAATTGGACAGATATTTTGTTATGAGCACCACTCTGATTTTTAGATATGTTGTAAGGGTTGATGAGAAACTACTTCGACCAAATTTTGAGACCAACATTTTTATCACTTTTTGAAATATTCAGGTTTTTGAAAGACTCAAAAATGCTTATATCTTAGCTCGTATTAAGTAAAGAGTCATGAAATTTTATAAATATGCATTTTACTGACCATTATCTTTGACCTAGGTATTTTTGACCAACAGAATAGTTGTTTAGAATTAAAAATTAGGTCTAGCAGAGAAAACCGCGTTATTCTAGTCCTCTTAGAAATAATAAAATAGAAAAATATCAAAATAATGCATATCAGCAAAAAATTTTTTTAATTTAAAATGAAAATATCTTTGAAACTAAAGAAAGCGCCATCATGAATTTAACTGGTGAGATGTAGAATTTTATTGCCTACATTTTTTGTGTTTTCACAAAAAACATGAATAATTTACTTTTTTAGAAAAATAGGCCTTCAAAACTCAAAATGCATTTTGGTGACCTTGACCTTTGACCTACAACATTTAAATCAACAGCAAAGTTGTTCAGAATAAATAGTTACCCACTGGGGTGAAATTTCATGACTCTAAACTTAATTCGAGCAGAGATATAAGCATTTTTCATTTTTTTTTAAACCAATATTACAAAAAGTAATAACAATTTTGGTCTCAAAATTTGGTCAAAGTAGATTCTCATCAACCCTAACAACATATCTAAAAATCAAAGTGGTGCTCGTAACAAGAAAAAACTGTCCAATTCATCTGAAATCATTCATGAACGGTCCCATTTAAGTTTTTTGCAGAGTGATTTTTTTTAATCAGTTAAATTAAGATTAAATATTTTTAATACCTCCCAGAAAAAGTCCTCTGGTTCAATGTGCGTCATGACTTCCTCGATTTGGGCGCTGCCCTGCTCTACAACTCTCATTAGAGCTCTGAAGCCGGTTGCAGCAAGCTGTTCTTCAGCCACATTCTCCTCGGCAACCACCTCGGCGATTAGAGCACCAAAGCCCTCTCGCTCAACCAGCTGCACCATCGCCATCTGAGCCTCCGGCGCCCTTAAAGCAGGGAACTCTCCTGCCTCGTAGGCAGCCGTCACCTCTTCTGTGCTTACACCCATTCTGGTACGGAAACTGAAAATTCATAGTTTGTTTTATGATCCATCTTAAACCGGCTCTTTCCGAATATAAAGATACAAAAATGATTGCTCATATAATTTAAGTTGTTTTGTTTTTTCATTAACCTGATCTTTGCCAGATCCCTAAGTGGCTCTTCAGCTTCTGCGCTGAAATCCTCAACACCAATGAATTCCATCATGCTTTCGACATATGCAGATTCTGTGCTAGTTGTTGTCACGGTCGCTCTTTCGGCCTCCGGAATAGACATTCGCTTCGCCCTGCGCTCCTTCTTCTGCTGCATAGTCAGCTCGCCAGTAGATTGCTCACTTTGGACATGGGTCACGGAAACACCCTCATTTTCATCTTGCTTAGCGTGAGCTTTCGCCTTCTTGGCTGCTTTGTTTTGGAACTCAAGAGTTTCCTCGATCGGTACATGTTCGGCCCTTTGCTGCTCCAGCTGTGTTTGGTCCACTTTTTTTAATGTAACGCTCTCCCTGAAAAATGCAACCAAAATATGATAACAAATCTTGGTACACGAAAAAAAATTCGCAAATTCTGCTTTGATCATATTAATCATAAAGTCACTCAGGTTGCATAAACTCGAAGGCGTTTTCATCATCGTCTTAGATTAGTAGCTTATTAATTTAAAAAAATTTCACCTTCAAAATGTATTTCAAATATTAGCTTTCTCAATTATTAAATTCAAAAAATTACAATCATAAAAAATTAGGAAGTTATAACTTTGATTGTGTCTTTTATATTTTAAATTTTAATAAATTTCCTCCAAAAAATTTGATATAAAAGAATTAAACTTTCATAAAATTTTATTATTCATATAAAAATTATAAAAAATTTAAGGTAATTGATTCATTAGATTTTTATAACTAATACACAGTTTTGAGGAAAATGAAAACAATTTGTACCCGGCTAGACTAATTTAGAAGTTGCTCCAATGTTGGAGTCGCGGAGGTTGCATACCTGTTTAGGCACTTTAAAATGAAAAGATTTTTTCAAATCAAAATTTTTATATTCAAAATAAAAGAAATAAATTGTAAGGTCAGCCTTTAATTTAATTAATTTTCAACTAACACGCAGTTAACTGCTTTTGAGGATTATGAAAACAATTTTTACCTGATCGGTAAACTAATATTAATAAATTTCGTCCAAAAATTTGATATTAAAGAATTTACCTTTCTTAAAATTTTATTATTTATATTAAAAAAAAAAATGAATAAAAGAAACGATACTCACGCCTTGACTTCGGTCTTGCCTCGTTTCCTCTCTTCTTGTTTGCGGAGACGAGCCTGTTCGCGAGCCTCCTTATCTCTCTGCTTTTGCTGCGCTTCCTCCTCTGCCTTTTTCTCTCTGGCTTCTTCAATAGCCTTTTTCTTAGCCTTGTGCTCCTCATCCTGCCTCTTTTTTTCTGCTTCGAAAAGTCTCTTTTCTATTTCGAGTCTCTTCTTTTTGGCTTCAGCTTTCTTTTTCACCTCCAGCTCTGCGCGTTTCTTAGCTTCTAGTTTTTCTTTTTCCTCCTCGGTCAGGTCTGTAAAAAAACATTGTTGTTTTTTCTACTAAATTGAACTTCAATATAACGATACCGTGGCAGTATAGGGAGGCTTTGGTTATTGCAGTTCCAATAGAGCTTTCAGCTTTGCACGTATAAACGCCTTCATTTTCTCGCTCGGCGCTGATGATAAGACAAGAGGTTTTGTTGTCCTTAATTGTAATTTTGATATTCTTGGATGGCTTGATTAATTTGTCGTCATGTAGCCAGACACATTCTAAAAAATAGATTTATTTAGTTCTCATATTTTTAATCATTAAAATTAAATTACCTGGCTTAGGTGTTCCTGAGAATTGACATTCAAATTTAATAGACTCGCCCTCTTTGCCTCTTTTGTCAGTCAGATCTTGGACAAATGATGGAGGTGCCTCTTGTGCTAAACACGCAAATAATATAAAATTGAAAACTTATAATTATAACATTTACCACTCAATCTCTCTGCCAAAGCTTCCATTTCTGTTACCCACAATGGCTTTCTGTATTCCGGAGTTCCAACAATTTCTGCAAAAAAATCGACGAAGTTAGTTGCCATAGCAGATAATAAAATGAAGATGAAATTTGATTGTAATGTGAAAACTGTTAAAATTGAGTATTTTTCCTTCTGTGTTTTTAAGTGTGAATTAGTTAGTGAGTAAGGGATTAAGGTCGACAGCTTTCTCCCTGAAAAATATTTAAAAAATTATATTAATAAGCAGTTATCAAAATAAAATTTATAAAATTATTAAATTAAAACAGAAAACAGTAATTATTCATATTATTTTCCAGAATTTTGAAATTCAGCCAAATACCCTCATCTGTGGTGATTCTAAGAGAGTCCGAAGCCATTCCCAAAGGATTTACGGCCACGGCCACAATTTCGTCCAAGTTCATGGGTAATTCGTGCATTGTAATGGCCCAAACTCCCTCTTCCAATTCCTCCACCTGATATGCTTCGCACTGGGTTATTTCCACTCCTTGCTTGTACCATCGTAACTCAGGCTTTGGCCGACCTTCGACCTTAATTTCCAATCTATAATCAAAATATTCAATTTTAAATTATCATAATTTTTTTAACACTATTCATAAAACATTTGCTAAAAAACTATCAAATACATAAGTTGATTTAAAGGATATTGGGGGGAAATTCACTTGAGAACTTTTGTACCGGGAGGAAAGTGGCGGGACAAATTTTAGCTTGGCTCTAAAAATTAAGCACTTTCAAGCGGGAGGAAATTTAAGTTTACCCCAGCCGGTGGAACAAAATTTGTTCTGTTGCATTTTTCTCATCTAGCAAAATCAGCTGTTTCAAATAAAAATCATTTTCTTGTCGTGAACTCTCTAAGATTTGATTTTCTGGGTTGAGGAAAATAATTACGCGATGAAATTTTTCAAGAAATACAATTATGACGTCTCATACATTTTCCAGAATTTTGATTCATTAAATTTACACTTTTAAAATTGATTTCCATTGCATATTCTGCTCCAATCATCTTTTAAAGAGTTCTTTATCTTGAGAAGAATTTAAAAATTAGTTAATTGAATATTTGATTGAAATTAAATTTATATAAAAAATTTAAAATAAATACCTGTCCTTTGTATTCCAACTTTGAAATTTGATCGCCTAGAAAACTTTAAATTTTCTATAAATTAAAAAAATTCATTGAAAATATTTTTAAAATGGAAATTTTTGACAACAAATAGTGCAGGCCAAGACTGTGTTTGATAAAACTGTGAGAATTTAAAAAAAATGGGGATTTTATCTTCTTGCGGGAGGGGGGTGTTGATTTTGTTCATTATCTACCTGGCCTGTCATTTTCAAATCTGCATTTTTTTCAGTGTATTCAGTGTATTTTAGATTTAATGAATATTTGTAATAATCAAAATAATATGCATAAAGTTTTTTTCTTCACATAAGAATTCAGTTTAATTTTTAATCCCAAATGGAACTATTTAATACAGATTAGCATCACCCAGTGCAATCCATTCTCGTTGCAAATCGTTTTCTTCATAAACTTCAGTAAATTTGAAATTTACGACAGTCAGGGTTTAATTTTCTATTTTCCAATTTGATAAAAAAGATATTCTAGTTAATTTCATCTGAAATATTTGCATAAGCATGTAGCATGTTACTGAACTAGGATTTTGTTTTAAAATTTTAATATATTTTGATTGAAATTCCAGCGACGATAATGTTCTTAAATAATAAGTAGATTACTATATAAGTAAAATAGTAAATTAATAAAATAGTAACGTCGATAATTGACGTTCTATTCCCTCTCGGCGTTGAAAATAGCAGCAATTTTGTTTTGCGAGTGATGATACAGTTAGTGTTTCTCTTTTAACGCTACCTCCAAGGAGACATTTAGTTTGCTATTTGGAGTTGATCCAAGTACGATTTGAATTTGTAAACTTGACTACGGAGTCCAATTAAAATTACATGCCACGCACCTCGTTCTACCGTCTTCTAATGACTTCCACTCTATTGGCGACGAGAAGTGCGGGGCGATGCCCGTCGGCTCCTCCTCTAGCGATTCCTGTTCACTTTGTTCCTCGCATACCTCTGATAAACTCTGAAAAACAATTACGCAATAAAAAAATAGAACGAATAATTGAGGCGACGAGCAAACAACACAAATACATATTGTGCAGTTTTAAACTTTATCAACGGGGTAATTTTTATTTCAAAAACCACAGTCATACGAGGCACAACTACATTCTTTCATATTGATAGCGCAAGAAATTAAAATGTCCTAGATGCATATCTTAATAATGGAACGCATCATTCAAAACTGGGAGAGCTTTGCAATCTACGATCAATGGCGCACAAAGCGGCCGCTTGTTTCTGTTGCTGACTTGGCAGTCTCGCCATTTTCAAGGGCTCTTTTCATTGCTCACTGCTGGGGAAATTCCCTGGCTTTTGAATCAAGCTAATTTAATCACTCGCCAGCCGTGTTTTTTATCCCACCCTCATGATCTTTATTTGGTTTTAAACGCTTAGTTTAGTTTCGCAATCAACAATCAATAAAGGGAAACAGTCCAGATTTACACACTTTATTATTGCAAGCTATATTTTATCATAAATCGACCTGTAGTAAACTACCTTTTCCGCTAACAAATCTTCTTCCGAGCCGCTCTGGCCGGTCGTAATTGAGGTTCCCATCGTAATGGAAATTTCCGAGTCAGGAATATACTCGTAAGCTGCGGTGCGTATATTAATTTATTGACTCTAAATTTGTAATTGAACAAACCTTCTACTATTAGCGACGCTGTGCATACGCATTCACCGACCTTGTTCTCAGCCAGACACGTGTAGTCACCTGCGTCTTCCGGGAAAACTTCTGAAATGGCAATTTTGCAAACTCCTTCCAAATCTTGATACAACTGAACGTCTCGTGCTTCATTTATTGGGTGCCCGTTATGCAACCATGTTATCTTTGGTGTTGGTTTTCCAGTAACCTATGAATTTTTTTAGTTTAAAAAAGAAAGAAAAAAGAAAATTCAGAAGAGCACTAATTTACCTCACACATAAAATGAACTTCCTCTCCGTCCATAACTCTGAGACTGGCCAGAGGTTGGACGAAAATTGGTGCCACCAATTCCTCAGTGTCCACCTGCTCAACAACAGCCACAGATGAATTGGCTGTTATGGAGCCGTAAGCGTTTTCCGCTCTACATGTGAACTGACCGGCAAACTCCGAGTAAATTTCCGAAATCATGAGCACGGACTTATTGTCTTCAGTTGCAATTCGCATTTCTGGGCAAGACTAGAAAACAAATTTATAAAGCATCATTTTAATAAAAAAAAAAATACAATTCTTATAAATTAATATAATTAAACAAAGTCTTACTTGAACTGGTTGGTTATTGTGGAACCATTGGAATGAGCAAGCTGGACTTGATTCAACTTTGGCTTCTAAAATAGCTACTTGGCCTTCTGGAACGGTTTGTGGAACAGGCTGTTTTACGAACTTTGGCGGACTGGCATCAGGTTCCTTTGGCTTGTTAGGTTCTGATGGGAGGAATGGATAAAATTTTAGAGGTAAAAGATGAGAATAAAATTACCAATGCAGGCAACAGTCCCAGACGTCTTAGCCTCTCCCACCTCATTCGTAGCCCTCACTTCATATTTTCCAATATCAGACCTTGTAACCTCCGAAATAACCAAAGTGGTCGAATTTTTCTCAGTGATGATTGTTTTTCCTTTTGTTCCAGACACAATTTCCTTTCCGTTCCTGAACCACTTCACCTCAGGCTTTGGCTCTCCAGTAAAATCGGCTTCCAAGGTGACCTTTGACCCAGCCTCCGCAAGCAGCGCCTGAACAGGTTTGGTGATTTTTGGAGCAATTTTCACTACAGGTTTCGAAACTGAGACAGCCTCTCCTAAAAAAATATTTATAAATATTTATTATCTTCAAAATTTTTTTTTTAATATTATACCAATAATGAGATTTGCCCTCGACTCCGCTTGTCCAAATTGATTGACCGCTCTAATCATATAAATGGCCTCGTCAAGTTGCGTTGCCTCCTGAATTGTCATTGTGGCCACGCCAGTTTTTGGATTGTAGTGCAATTTCGTCTTTTCAGACGGCAAAATTTGCTGGCCACCCACGAACCATTTAATTTCTGGGCCGGGCCGCGCTTTCACGATGCATTGAAGCTCAGTCGTTTCATTCTTTACCGCCACTTGCGGCTGCAAGGGCTTCTCAAAGTGTGGAGCTTCGCCGCTCTGCTCGCGTTCTGTAATTGAGGAAAAGTTTAATCAACGCGATGTGGAGCTGTGATTTGAGGTTGGGTGCTCGACATGATTTGTCTTTGCCGGGAACACACGTTCTCTATTTCAAGCCGGCACAAGTTGCCAAATTGTCGTGAATATTTTCATACCCCGCAAACGTTTCTGTAAAATCTAGTCTGGCAAACTGTATTCCCAAAATTTAAAAACAAATTTAATTATTTAAATTTAAAATTGATATATCTATGACGTACCTAAAATTAAATTCTTAAAATTAATTGAAATTTCTTACTTTTGTTTCGAACTCTCCATGACATAACTTCAAATGAAATTGCTTCTCAAAATAAAAAAAATAATTAAATCAAAAAGAATTGGTCCCTCAATTGGAATGGTTTTTGGTTTGTTCGTCTTCAGCTCAATCCTGTGCAAACTACCTCGAAGCTGCTTCTACTAAATATTACTAACCGCGAGGCGCGCAGCATTGGCTCGAGAAAGTGTAAGCATCAACCCCTCCCAACCACAACACGACGGAGAACTTTTGTCGCCTTTGTCCCAAGCATAAATTACTGCTGCGGCATTTCTCGAGACATAACAAAGTTCGTGCTTTGATTTTAATGGCTTGCCAAATCAATCTCATCGACCTTTTCTGTTGTTTTTTCTAATGGAAGACCAACAAATAATCTCAAAGTGACCTGCACTAAAAATAGAGCTTGCTCAATTAATTAGAAAAGACGTATCAATCCGAATGGAACCATTAAATTAAGTGTTTTTGTTTAAACCCATTACTTTAGAA